TTCTTCCTCATATAAACTCAAGCTTCAGGAAGGTAGGGTCTTTGAATAATTGAATTCTGTATCCAGAGTACTTAGTGCAGTGCCTAGCATAAGGAGACAATAAATATTGAATTAACTTATGGATACTTAATGAAAACAAAGCAGTGGGCAACCCAGTAAGATACTTAATGAAATCTCATCAATTTACTCCAAAATGAGGATCAGCTCACTCTGAATAGTGAAAAATATGATTATCTATTACTGTAAGGTCTATGTAATTATATTCCTTTGTAATATATCCAGTGACTCCCTCCTTTGTCCTATGATGTATCCCTTTGGGCTACAATTAGACATTGTACAGACCTCTATTCTATACTTCTAACCATGCTGCTTTATAATGCTTTTTATGTATCTCTTTCCCCCCACTAGACCAAGAGCTTCTTGACCCTGTCTTATTCATCTGTATATCTCCATCGAATAATCCATAGTAGGTGTTCAATAAATATTTGTTGAATTAAAATTAATGAAGTTGAACGGGCTAATCAAAGGACTGTCTTGTAAAGACCTGGGGATTTATTTCAATGACCATAAGAATGATTTTTGTCTTACTATATTTTGGAAACACACAAGGGGCTAACATTTACTTACATTTTAATATTCTACTTCTTAGTATACACTTTCCTTCTTTTCTTTCTTTCTTTCTTTCTTTCTTTCTTTCTTTCTTTCTTTCTTTCCTTGTTTTTTACCGTTTTCACAAATATAAAACTCAAGTTCAGCTGAAGTTTCTGAATTATCATGGATTCCAAATTAGGGAAGTCCATACTGTGCCTTGCCTTGTTTTATTTTTGTTGATATTTATGTACATCTGCGTTTGGGCAAGGCAGGCACTAGAAAATATGGATGGATGTGGTTAATCTGCACCAGTTTTTATGGGCCCAATTAATTTTCTTTTAAATTCTTAGTGTTGTTTATATTTATAACCAGAAAAAAAATTTAAACTATAAAGCCAAATTCTCTTACCTTCCGTGTTGTTATGAGGTTTTAAATCATTTAAATCACAGGGATCTCAGCAGATTGCTTGCTTTTTTTCTTATCTTAATTACAAGGCTTTTATTTAGGGGAACAGTGAGAAACAGGACACCCTTGGCTGGTGTGGAAAGGGAATGGTGGGGAAGAAGGACCTTGCTTATATTTTCTTCATTCTAATGTTAAAGTCATAGTTGATACAGTGATTTCTTTATGGTATTCCACTCTAGAAACGTGCTTACAAGACCTATGTCCGAGCCCTTCCTCTGCTGAAGAAAATGGGGATCAATTCCATTCTCCTCCGTAAAAGCATCGGTGCTCTTGAGGTGGCCTGTGGCATTGTCATGACCCTTGTGCCTGGACGTCCCAAAGATGTGGCCAACTTCTTCCTGCTCTTGCTGGTGTTGGTTGTGCTCTTCTTCCACCAGCTGGTGGGTGACCCTCTCAAACGCTATGCCCATGCCCTGGTGTTTGGAATCCTGCTCACCTGCCGCCTGCTGATTGCCCGCAAGCCTGAAGACCGGTCTTCTGAGAAGAAGCCCTCACCCTTGGGAAATGAGGGGAAAGCCGAGGAGCAGCCCTCCTTATATGAGAAGGCCCCTCAGGGCAAAATGAAGTTGTCATAGGAAAGTGGAAGTGCAAAAAGTGGACCTTCCAGGCAGTTGCCTCCATGACACCCAGGAAGATGTCAGCGTGTGTTTTTCATTTGATTTATTTATGTTGGGGGAAAGGGAAAAATATAATCTTCAAGTTAATGGCCCTGTTGGTTTGTGTACACCTAAACCCTAAAATGATTTCCCCACATAGACATATGTGTACCATCTTTAATCACTCTGGGGAAACTCTCACATCTTGCTGCATGTACATGTAATATGGCTAACTATTGAAGTGTTTTTTGTGAGATGGACTCCAGCAAGCATGTGACTGTGCAATTGTATGTGTGGGAAAATCTATTTACTGTGTGTGTGTGCATGCACATGCGGAGGAGAAGGCTCTGATCTTCAACTAATCCTTCATAGGTATCCTTCCCTTTATAGATTGAGTCTAGTGAAGACAATAGAATAAACCTACTATAAAGAGAATCCTACTTTTGGTATAAAACAACTGATGTATTCCCATGAGATGGGGGAATGCCTTGATAGATTAAGCTGAAATCTTAAACCTGCCACTTTAAGAAAACGTCCCTTCAATTTGAGGCACTGAGTTATATGTAAAATTAATTAACCTGTACTTTTAACATCTGGTTAAATTTTAAATACTCCATATTGAGTTTAATTAAAATAAGGAATATATGCAGTCAATAGATAATCTAATTCTTCAAGTGATAAAATTGGAAGTTTCAGCTTGCTTTTGTCCAAGCCCAACCTCCTAAACTCCTTTACTCACAGTTTGAAACTGAAGCGGTAAACTTGTGGTTTTTTTAAAATTTATTTTCTTAAGCCAAAAGCTGCCTCACTTCCACTATTATCAGTAGCTAACCAGGATTTGGCAGCTTCTCTGCTATTGTGGTTGAGGGAGCAGGGATTAATTAGTCCTGTTAGAAGTCTGTGAATTTCAAACTCTTCTCTTAAAACTGAAATTTGACCAAAGAGCTGCACCCAATGTTTCCTTGCCAAATAGATTCACTACTCCTATTGAGTCTTCACTGAACTTTGCTAGTGTAAGCAGAGATCTAAGACAACCCCAAGGTTGTCTCCTCTACACTTCTTTATCATTTTAGTGGGTGGAGTTTAGCTGAGGGAAGGACATTTGATACGGGTTAGTTGGATCCAGCGCTACAAAAATTTGCTTTCTTTATTACATACTAATGTTTCTCCTTGGTAGATGTGCTTTGATGGTTTTAATATTATTGTGCCAGGGATGGGGAAAAAGTTGGGGGTGTTTTATCTGTGTGGAGTAAAATTATTGTATTTCCTAAATGTCATTGTTCTCATTAATTGATACCTCTGTCTTATTTCTCTCATTCTTTCAAAATAAAAATTTTTGAAATTTGAAGGAAACTATTGGAACAAATAATGGAAATATGGAAAGCAATGGTTATATCAAGGCATTCAGGCTTTTTTTTTGGTCTGCATGAGGGGGAAGAAAGAGGGAGGAGTATATTCACTATCACTTAATATACTAATGAGATTACCAGCTTTCCAATCTCATTTAAGTTCTGCCACACCTCTGTGATGTCAGCACATAAGAAAGAAAACTATAGAATTAGGATCTCAATGCAATGTCTAGGTTTGGGGAATCCTGCTTCATTAGGTGACGCCAAGGGACGGTGGAAGAATGATTTCAGAGAAAATTGCAAGTATATTAAATAAAGGTGAACCAGTGTCTCTCACTGTATGTGTCCACAAAGTGGCACACGTTTCAGTGCCACATACTGTCACATTAGGCAAGTTATTTCACCTCTACAAAAAAGAAGGGGATCTAAGACTTAAAATCCTTTCCAATTTCCAATTGAGTCTGTGTAATATTTGAAATGATTAAAATGACTCGAGAAATGTTCAGTTTTAGTAGAAAAGGAAGAGCAGCTACCATGAAAACACTGAACACTCATTTCTCATGCATGATTAAATAAGAGTTCATGAAAGTGCTTTGAAAAACTATACAAATGTAAAATGTGGTAAGAAATCATTTCTGCTGTAGTCCCCAAATAACATCAACTTAATCTTTAAAAAAATTTTCTTTATTGATTTTAGAGAGAGAGGAAGGGAGAGGGAGAGATAGAAACATCAATGAGAGAGAACATGGATTGGCCGCCTCCTGCACACTCCACACTGGGGATTTGGCCCACAACCTGGGCATGTGCCCTGACCAGGAATGAACTAGCCACCTCTTGGTGCATGGATCAATGCTCAACCATCGAGCCACACCGCCGGGCATCAATTTAATCTTTGATTCTTCATCTTTCCCTAAGAAAGCCAAATTTCCTCCTATAGTTTTTTTGCCTACAGTTTATAGGTATGATTTGACCTAAAAAAATCAACAAGAGCTGCTAAATTTATATCTTTCCTCTCTGATTCCTACTCTAGTAAGAGATTCAACTAGGGACTAAGCTCAGGTCCCACACTAAGCCCTTGTTGCTGTTTTAGACAATTTCTTCAAGGTCCATCACTCGTCAAAGTTAGGAGCCTACGGTAGACTGGCTGGTTACCTGCAAGGAGCCACTACTGTTTCAGGACACATGTTTTGGTTTTTTGTTTTGTTTTGTTTTGTTTTTTGTCCTCACCCGAAGACATTTTTCCATATTTTGTTCAGATAGAGTGGGAGGGAGGAAGGGAAAGAGAAAGAGAGAAAGAGAGAGAGAGAGAGAGAGAAACATCGACGTGAAAGGGACACATCGAGTGGCTTCCACCCGCACAACCCAACCGGGGTCGGGGACAAACTGCAACTGCAACCGAGGTACATGCCCTTAGCGGGAACCGAACCGGGTCTCTCTGGACCGAAGGCCGACGCTCTAACCGCTGAGCCAAACCGGCCAGGGCTGGCCACGTTGTTTGTTTGTTTTTTAGCAAACCCTGGAAGGTATAGGTACCCATCCTCAGTAAAAGGAGTGTAGATCCAGCCTTTTTTCCTTCCCACCTCCTAGTTTCATATGAGGTCACAGACCCTTTAACCGAAGTTTCTTGCCCAGCATGAGAGAGGCCGTCTTTACTGGGAAGTTTGCAGTTTCCTATTTTCCCACCAGGTCCTGACATTTGGGATCTGTCTGGGTAAGACGATCACTATAGTTATCTCGTTAAATTCAAGAACCCAGACGCTGATTATTTTGTTTTACGCAAAATGAAGAACACGAACATTTATCAGGACAGCGAGAACGCCAGCCAATCAGCTGCTTCCCGCCCCAACGCCTCACTCACCGCAAATCCCTGGGGCCCTGGCGGGTGGGGCAAGCGACTGTACGAAATTGGATTTGCGTCAGCGTCAGCGCGCGCGCCGCCTGGCGCCGTTGAGCTGTAATCCAACCAATCAGACTTCAGCAGAGCGCGCCGCTCTGTCAGGCCGCCCCGGCGTCTCCGCGGAAGGGCATGCGCAGGGCGGGGCCCGTTCATTTGAATCCTGGAGGGGATGTTTGAACTCCGGAGGTTCGTGGACAGAGGGATGAATTAGGTAAGGTACTTTTAAATACCACGTGAAAAGGGGGCTCCAACATCGAAGGGGATCTCCTTGACTTCTGAGCAGGACTATCCTGCAAGGTGTGGCTAGGTCGGGTTTTCCTCGAGCCCACGAAGGGGTGTTGGGGGAGGGGAGTCTTGGGAAGCTATGGGACCGGTCAGCCGGTCAGCCGGTCACCGTGAGGTATCAGAAGCTGCTAGCCTGCCTTTCTTTGTTAGGAACCTAGGAAACAACTCGGAACTTGGAACCCCCACTGGGCTAGATACGCAAATTGCTCTCCTGCTTTGGCCTCATCCGCTAGGGAGGTGGGGTTGAGTGTCATTCCGACCATTCCCTTAGTTTTTGCTCCTTGAAGCCAAAAATTTAGAAGTCTTCTGGGTTCCTCTCTTTCCTTTTCCCTACATCCAGTATTTTATCATGGTCTTGCCCATTCCTCCTCCAAAACATGTCACGAATGCTGTCATTTTCTACCTTTTCCACCACTGTACATAAGACTTAGTTCAGACTACAGTTATATATCTTCTGGACGTATACAAGACCCTTTTAATTGCTCTTTTTTCACTCCTTGACCCCTAACATCCTATTCTTCACATTGCAGCTAAAATGGCCTTAAAACATAAATTACATGGTATCACTCTCCTCTCTAATCGCCCCCCCCCCATTCCCCAATAGTTGACATGACACTTAAGATCCAAACTCCTCACTCTGGCCTACAAGTCCCAATAGTAGTTCCTGGCTTCCTTTCTGACTTCATCTCCCACTACCCTCTGTCTCTTTCATGTCACTACCTCTCCTGTCCCCCACTGATGTTGCTGCCATTTTTCTAACACACAAAGCTGTAGCTTTAAAGTTTTAGCAAGTCTTACCTTCCATCTCCATGAAATACTCTTCCAGCACATTGTCACATAGCTGATTCCTTCTTTGCATGAAGAAGTCAGTTTAAAGGTCAATCAGGGAGGCTTTCTTGGAACAGTTATTCCAAAGTAGCTTCTCATCCCTACCTTGATTCTATCACATCACTGTGTATTATGTTCTCTATTAGCCATGTACTTACATTGACTCTCACACTCCTCCCCACCCCCATAAGTTTCATGAGAGCAGAGACCTTGACTATTATATTATCTTATCCCTGATAGCTAGAACTGTGCTTGGCATATAGATGATGTTCAGTAATTATTTATTGTGTAAGTGAATTATTGGGGAGTTTTTCTGTTCTGAGAATCCTTATTTGCCCACCAGTTGACTTTTGAGCTATGCAGTTTTAACTTGGCACTGACAAAGTAGTGAGCATAAAAGATGAAAAGCAAAATCAAAGAAGGGTAGAGAAAAATAGGAGTGATTGGAGAAAGTAAGATTGAGTTCATGAGATGGCTTAGTTTTGGACTCGCTTATGTGATACAGCCATTTGAAGAGAAATTGTTAAGTAGCCTGTACTCTTACTATTTTATTTTCCTCCAGGAAGGCCTGTTCAGTTGGTCAATATTACCTTGGAGAATTGTTTCTCTCTATTCCTAGTTAAGTCAATGGCTTTCCTAGAAAGCTAACCTGTAGGTTTGTTGTCTAGATTTTTTTCAGGTTTTTATTGTGTACTTGTTGTATGTTAGGTAACGTGTACTAAATGTTTGGAATACATTCAGATATGGTACCTGTCTTTGTGGAGTAAAAAGGGACAGTTTGGTTGATTAATGGTAATGACACTTGTTTCTGCAGTAATGTCACCTCAAAAGAGAGTTAAGAACTCTCAGACACCAAAGAGAACTTCACGACGTAGTAATAGTTATCAGACTAATCTCTTGGCCTGGAGACAGAAAGAGGACCTAAGCAACTCAAAAGGCATCTCGAAAAATGGACAAAACAGTCCAGTGGAAGATTTTGAACATGCTGATGTTGATGAGCAAGCAGAGGATACTCTGCAGATAGCAGTGAGATACTTTGAGAAAGGTAAGACAGATGGTTTTCCTTACAAAAATCCCATTGTTGTCAAAGTATTCTGGACTTTTTTGTTAGGAAAATTTAAAGGAGAGCAGATTTTTGGTCATTCATGCTTTTGTCTGTTTAACAGATATTTGTTGAGCACTTACTACATGCGTATCAGTATGCTAGGTACTAGGTATACAACAGCAAAGCACATTCCTGGCAGTGCAGCTTCCAAACTGCTGCACATTGGAATTACCTGAGAATCTTTAAAACACACTAATGCCTAGCATCCACTCTTAGATAATCTGATTTTTTTGGTATGGGATGCAATCTAGGCATCAGGATTTTTTAAAGGCTCCTTAGGTGATTTGTAAGTTTGGGAACCACTGCCCTAGTAATGAAACAGCTTATAGTCTAATTTTAGTGCTTTTAGTTTAGAGCAGAGATGCCAAGTCATGGTTTAGTTTTCCTCACTGAAGGTGCTATTGCTGTTAAATATTCTAGAATGTTAAAGGTTTTGAAGGGCTTTTACAAAGACATTTTATACATAAAGCTATTCCTTTAAATTATCCAAAATTAGAATTGTTGAGGCTGGAGACTGAAAGAATTTTAAAGATCCCACTATTTAATATGGTTCCTTTTTTCCAGGTCCCTTTAAAACTTCACGGAGTAAAGATAAAACCTTAGAAAAACACTTGAAAACTGTGGAAAATGTGGCTTGGAAGAATGGGTTAGCTCCAGAAGAAATTGACATTCTTTTAAATGTGACACTCAGTGGCAAATTTGGTATGTCAAGGGGATACATTTATCATAAGTTTGCTTTTAATTTTGCCTCCCAGACTTTGAATTAGGTTGTTCATTGGAATCAGTTGCAGTTCTTCTTCCCTTTTTTTTTTACTATTCTCTTTTTAAAACCAAAATGTGTTTTGTTACATTCAGATTACCTTATGAGTCAAAAGTTTCTGTGTGCATATGTTGAAGGGGCTAGTTATCACATATCTTTACAAGTAAAATGTATAGACTCTTGTTATATACACGGGAGCCATTTTCAGTATTTCTTTTAAGAAGCATAGATATAATTTTTTAAAATTTTATTTCATTTATTTTATTTTTAAACTTATCTTTATTGTTGAATGTATTACAGATGCTCCCCCTTTTTCCCCCATTGATGCCTTCTCCCCCACTCCCACCCCCCTCCTACCTTCCCACACTATTGCCTGTGTTCATTGGTTATGCATGTAAGTTCTTTGGTTTATTTCTTTCAGCCCCCCCCCCCCTTCCTTTTAAGGTTCATCAGCCTAACAACCAATTTGTACTTCACCTTTTTGACCCATCCTCCCAGGCCCCTCCCATCTGGCAACTAAAAAAAAGTTCTCTATATCTATGAGTCTGTTAGAAGCATAGATATAATTTAAATAATGTTGCTGGAAAGCACCTTAAAAGATCACTTGATCTACTTCATTGACAGGTCCATGTTGATGCTGGCTCCATTCCAGCATCTATGACCTTAACAGTCAAGATGCTTTTTTTTGTACAATTGCTTCCTTTCCTGTCCTAAATTCATTTGGAATGGGCATGGGGGTGAGGTTCTTAGAAAGAAATAACATCTGACCAGTACTATTTTTACTTGAGAAAAATGTTTTAACCTACTCTCATTTACATTCAGACTTGGAAAATATTTTAGACACTGTACATCTTCATTTTAAAGGTGAGGAAACTGAGACCCAGAGTGGTTAAAGAGACTTGCTTAAATGTCAGTTAGAACTAGAGAATTCAGATCTCCTAACTCCCCTTATAGGGTTTATACACTGCTACTGGGTTTTCTACCTTTTTTTAAAAAAATAAGACAACTATCAAAACTGGATACTCTACATACCATTTCCTGGCCCTTGCATATTGTGTTCCTTTATGTATACCCTAGCATCATATTTACAGTGGTGTGTGTGTTTTAAAGCAACAACATATTAATAGCTGAATTCAGTATATGACTCGCAGTTATTTTAGTTCTCTGCTTTTACCTGATTAGTTCTCTGTGTTTTCCTAGAAAGTTAAATTTGATGTAATATAATGGGCTCTTCTTGTAAGTGGTTTCAGATGGTTTGGTTCCAATATCTTTCCAGGAATTTGTGTTTAACTGATAACTGTCTGTCAAGAACAATTCTTTCTTTCCCTTGTCCCCTTAAAACATGTATAGAATGTACAGATGTTTTCTGTTTTGGAATTTCTGTTTTCTTTTTTCTATATCTCAGAAATTAATGGTTAGAAGGCTTTTATGACATTTTTCAGGTCTGATGGCAAATGTACACCTCTTTTTAAATGCATTCTGCAGACTTAGAACTTGTATATATGATTTAAAAAACAATCTCTGGCTTTTTAGTCTAACTTTTAATTTTTCTATTAAGCCGGAATTTGTTGATGTCAAATGTGGCCTCCATAACTGCTTTTTACCCTTTTGGTTAAGTCTATGATATCCCCCACCACTACTAGATCTTTGTATGTAGTAGCTCTTTTGCTGAGTTGTAATGCATATTCAGGGGCAGGTGTGCTACAAATGTCATAATTAGGTGCAAAGAGACTTCCAGGGGTGGGGAACCTTTTTTCTACCAAGGGTTATTTGGATATTTGTAACATCATTCAAGGGCCATACAAAATTATCAACTTAAAACTTAGCCCGCTATCTTTGGTTGGGCTAATTTCGTGAGGCGTTTGATGTTAGCTGGTATTGATTTCATGGGCCATACCATAGACCGGACGTTCCTCACTCCTGCTATAAATGAATTTCAAAGTCATTGGGAAGTAAGAATACAGTCTGTATTGAAGTCCCTCTTTGAATTTAGTAAATGTGTAAAGTGTTAGTGGTCAGACTGTTTTAAACTTTAGAAGGGTTAGGGAATGGGGGTGTGGGAGAAAAGAGAAATAAAAACAAGGAACCACAGAGTGGAAAGCAGAGGTTTTTATTCTTATGATTCATTACCTGCCACCACTGCTTCCTTTCTTCTCCACGGAATGATGCAGTTGAAATTGATAGATATATTATTGCAGTTAGGTAAGATGAATAAATCTAGAGATCTAATGTGTTGCATGATGACTATAGTTAATAATACTGTATTGAATACTGGAAATTTGCTAAGAGTAGATTTCAGGTGCTCTTACCACACACAAAAAACTGGTAGCTATGTGAGGAGATAATATGTTAATTAGCCTGACTGTAATAGTCATTTCACTGTGTATATGTATATCATATCATGTCATGCATCTTAAATATATACAATTTTTATTTAAAAAATGAAGAGAAGTCTTCACTCTCAGGGGGGAAAAAAGACATCTATAAGATGTTTCTGAGAATGCTACTTACAAGCGAAGTTAAGAACAGTGTTATTTCAGTGAATGGATGTGATTAATGCACATGCCCAGATTGTGGGCCTGATCCCCAGTGGGGGGCATGTAGGAGGCGGCCAATTTATGTTCCCTCTCATCAATGTTTCTATCTCTCTTCTGTCCTCTCCCTTCCTCTCTCTGTAAAATCAATGAAGCAAAATAATTTAAAAAAACATTCACATATGTTTAAAGACATATGCAAGATGTTTTTAAGAATGTTACTTATGGGAGAAGATGAGAACAGTGTTATTATAATGAATGGAAGTGATTGCCACGCATTAAGGTATATAAAACAGTGGTTAAAGACACATGCATCTAAGATGTTTTTGAGAATTCTGTGTGCATGAGAAGTTGAGAATAGTGTTTCTTCAGTGAATGGTTATGATCACCACACAAGAATGCAAATAAAACAATGTTTTGATACAAAAAGAAATGTATGAGATACCTATTTTTAAAAATATTTTACTTTACTTTTTAATCCTCACCTGAGGACATGCTTAGAGAGAGGAAGGGAGAGAGAGAGAGAGAAAGGAGAGAGAGACATCAATGTGAGAGAGAAGTATCAATCGGCTGCCTTCCATACACTTCTCTACTGTGGATCAAACTTGCAGCCTAGGTATGTGTCCTGACCAGGAATCGAACTGGCAAACTTTTGGTGCATGGACGACGCTCAACCAACTGAGCCATTCCAGCCGGGCAATGAGATACCTATTTAATACTTGAAGCCTTAATAAGCAGAGTTTGATATAGGGTATATACTAAGCTATGTGCAACATCAATTCTCTTACTGGATGGGAAGGTGTCATGGAAGCCTGAGAGTATGATGGAAAAATTAGACTAATATAGACTATTACTGCCATCTAATTCCAAGAATAGCTGTTCCATTCTGCTATCCTGTTCACGTTTTTTTGAGGGGGGGTGGAGAATACAAAATATTTATTCTTAAATGTAGCAGCAGTCCATGTAAGATGTCTGTTGGTAGCTTTAAATAAATCAGAATCTATTGTGCCATTAAAAATAATAAAAGAATCATCTTTGAAATTTTCCTATGAGTAAATACTTTTTTTGAGGTATAATTCACATACCATAAAATTCACACTTTTGAAACATCCAATCCAGAGTGTTTTGGTTTTTTAAAAATATTCACAGCCCGACTGGTGTGGCTCAATAGTTGAACATCAACCCATGAACCAAGAGGTCACCAGTTCGATTCCCAGTCAGGGCACATGCCCAGGTTGTGGGTCCAATCCCCAGTGGGGGGCATGCAGGAGGCAGCCAGTTTATGTTCCCTCTCATCGATGTTTCTGTCTCTCTCCTTCTCCCTTCTTCTCTCTGTAAAATCAATAAAGAAAAATAATTTAAAAAAAAACCATTCACAAACTTGTGCAATCACTACTCTCTAATTCCCAAATATATCATCATCCCAAAAAGAAACCCTGAATTCATCCACCCTTTTAAAATAGAAATATTAGAGCCAAAGAATTTACTTTATATTTATATTAGAAGGTAAAGGTACATTTTTTTTTGGTTTCGAACCGTGTTTTGTAATGATAAGAGATGTCACAGATTACTCATGTTTTTTTTTATTGCTTTCAATAAAAAGTGAGATTCTTAGGACTAAGAGTGAATAATAGTAACGGAACAATCAAGATACTAAAATGCAGTTTAATTTAGAGTTTGTCTTCTCTCCAGGAAGTGCTGTAAACTCTCGGATACTGAGATGCATGATTCCAGCTACTCTAATATCAGAAGATTCTGTGGTTAAGGCGGTCTCCTGGCTTTGTGTTGGCAAGTGTTGTGGTAGCACCAAGGTAATCTTTTTAAACACTTTGATGATAAATCCTTCAGAACCACTTAAGGCAGGGGTGGAGAACCTTTTTTTCTGCCAAGGGCCATTTGGATATATATAACATCATTTGAAGGCCATACAAAATTATCAACTTAAAAATTAGCTTGCTGTACTCACTTCGGCAGCACATATACTAAAATTGGAATGATACAGAAAAGATTAGCATAGCCCCTGTGTAAGGGGCAAATTCATGAAGCGTCCCATATTTTTTAAAAAATTAGTTTGCTATATTTTATATTTGGTCAGGCTGATTTGGTGAGGCATGTGATGTTAGCTGGTATTGATTTCTCATGCCTTATATGGCCCATGGGCCAGACATTCCCCACTCCTGACTTAAGGGCTGGCAAGGAAGAGACACTTATAGAGTAATGACACTGGCCTTTTGTGCAAAGCCTATGGTTTTGGAACAGTATAGCTTGATGTAAGGACTCTGTTCAAACAGAAATTTTTACTGAGAGATAAAATCTATTATCCGGCTTTGTGCTAGGGGATTCTAAAACAGCTCTGGAGGTGAAATAAGTTCTTCTGTGCCAGTTATATTTCTCTAAAAATAAGCATTTTGTCTCTCAATAGGTACTTTTTTATCGTTGGCTGGTTGCAATGTTTGACTTCATCGATCACAAGGAGAAAATTAACTTGCTCTATGGCTTCTTCTTTGCTTCATTGCAAGATGATGCACTGGTAAGTAAAAATTGAACAGCATTATGCATCAATCAAATGGTATGTGCTTGTATATTGACGTACCACATGTGCTTCAACGTGCCATACAATGTGTTTTTCCTTACTTGTTTGAAAAGGTAGCAAACACAAAATATAAAGAATAACATTACACCCTTGCACCTCTCTCAGATTAACAAATATAAATATATTTTGATCATCACCTGAGGATATTTTTCCATTGATTTTCAGATAGAGTGGAAGGGAGGGGCAGAGAGAGTGAGAGAAACATCAATGTGAAAGAGACACATTCATTGGTTGCCTCCTGCAGACCCTGACTGGGGCCAGGGATCAAACCTTCAACAAAGGTATGTGCCCTTGATCGGGAATCGAACCTGCAACTTCAGTCTGTGGACAGTCACTCTAACCGCTGAGCCAAACTGGCCAGGGCTATAAATATTTTTTTTTTTACCATACTTGCTTTATGTCTTTCAAGGAAATAAAATATTACAAATATAATTAACTCTACACTGGAGACTCTGTGCTGATGGAGAGCAGTGATGTCCATCTTGTCCCTTTTATTTATTTATTTTTATTTTATTTTTTTTATCCTCACCCGAGGACATTTTTCCATTTTTTGTTCAGGTAGAGTGGGAGGGAGAGAAAGGAACAGAGAGAGAGAAACATCGATGTGAAAGGGACACATCGAGTGGCTGCCACCCGCACAACCGACCAGGGCCGGGGACAAACTGCAACCGAAGTACTTGCCCTTAGCGGGAACCGAACCCGGGTCTCTCAGGACCGCAGGCCGACGCTCTAACCGCTGAACCAAACCGGCCAGGGCTCCATCTTGTCCCTTTTAAACCACTTCCATGGGGTCCTTTGGGTTACTTACTCTGCATTTTCTTGATTAGCACTGCAAAATCCTCATCAGAATTAATGAGGAGAGGATTGCTTTTCATGAGATGCCAGTAGATTGATTTTGATTAAATGGCATAATTACTCCCATTGAAAACATTAATAATAACTCTGAGAAAACAATCTACTGTCCACCTGGAAAACTTTCAACAATCCTCTTTGCAGACCATGTGAACCGCTTATCTGACCAAATTTCTCTTATTTTAAAAAATTGACATTCCCATTTTGTTCATTGTATTGTACTAAACAATATAGAAGATTCAAAGTTTAGCAGAAGGTTTCTGTATTGTAAGGATTTATAATCCAGTTGGGGATTAAGGAAAGCATATAAAGTTAAATAACTCAAGAGTTAAATTATCAAAGACAATATATAATAGTGTTAGGATAATAATTGCTGAGATATTTCCAGGAAGGGAGAGAAAACTATAAGCCAGAGTGATTAGCAAAAGCATTATAAAGTGTATGGGTATTGAGCTGGGCCTTGACAATTGAATAGGATTTGATAAAAGGAAATGATGTAGCTATTCGGGGTCTTTTTTGGTTCAATATAAACTTTTGGAATATTTGTTCTAAATCTGAAATATGCCATTTATACTTCAACAGGGATTGCATTGAGTCTGTATATTGCTTTGGGTAGTAAGGACATTTTAATGATGTTGATTCTTCCAATCCATGCACATGGTATATGTTTCCACTTTTTTATATCTTCCTCTATTTCTTTTTTCAATGTCCTGTAGTTTTCTGAGAACAGATCTTTTACCTCCTTGGTTAAGTTTATTCCTAGGTGTCTTATTTTTTTGTCGTGGGAATGGTAAATGGGATTGTTTTTTTAGTTTCCCTTTCTGAGTATTCATTATCCGTGTATAAGAATGCCATCGATTTCTGGCTATTAATTTTGTATCCTGCTACTTTGTTGAATTTGTTTATTAAATCTAGTAGTTTTTTTTAATTTTTTTATCCTCACCTGAGGACATTTTTCGATATTTTGTTCAGATAGAGTGGGAGGGAGGGAGGGAGGGAGGGAGAGAGAGAGAGAGAGAGAGAGAGAGAGAGAGAGAAAGAAACATCGATGTGAAAGGGACACATCGAGTGCTCGCCACCCACACGACCCAACCAGGGTCGGGAACAAACTGCAACGGAGGTACGTGCCCTTAGCGGGAACCGAACCCGGGTCTCTCCAGACCGCAGGCCAACGTTCTAACCGCTCAGCCAAACCGGCCAGGGCAATCTAGTAGATTTTTGATGGAGTCTTTAGGGTTTTCTATGTACAATATCATGTCATCTGCAAATAATGACAGTTTCATTATTCAGTGAACATTGGCGTACAAGTATATATTCAATTCCTTGCTTTCCATTCTTTTGGATATATACCTAGGAATGGAATTGCTGTATCTCTATGTTTAGCATTTTGAGGAACCACCACAGTGGCTGTACCATTCTACCTTCCCACCAGTAGTGTATGAGGGTTCCAATTCATCACATCCTCACCAATACTTATTTATCTGACTTACTGATTGTATCCATCCTAGTGGGTATAGAGTGATATCTCATTGTGGTTTTGATTTGCATTCCTCTAATGATTAGTGATGTTGAACATCTTTTTATGTACTTATTGGTTATTTGTATATCTTCTATTCCAATCCTTTGCCCATTTATAAATTGGGTTACTTGTCTTTTTTTTTTTTTTTTTTTATTGGGTCGTAAGAGTTCTTTCTATATTTTAGATAGAAGTCCCTTACCAGATATCTGATTTATCTGGGAGGCGCAACTAAGCTGGAACCACTTTAAATTCTTTGCTTGAGGCCCTGGCCAGTTTGGCTCAGCAGTTAGAGCATTGGCCCATGGACCAAGGAGTTGCAGGTTCGATTTCGGTCAGGCGCACATACCTTGACTGCGGTTCCGTCCCCTGGCCCTGGTTGGGGTTGTGCGGGAGGCAACCAATCAATGTGTCTCTCTCACATCGATGTTTCTCTCTCTCTCTCTTCCCCTCCCACTCTTTCTGAAAATAAAAATGGAAATATATCCTCGGGTGAGGATTAAAAAAATAAAATAAAATAAATTCTTTGCTTGAGGTTTTCTTGTTTATATCACTAGTGTAAATTCAAACTGCAAATCTACATAGGGCCCAGCTTATGGTTATAAATTCTTGGGAGAAGCTTGTCCTGTAGTACACAAGAGTAGGTGAATGATGTTAGTATGTGTTTGACTCTTCCTTACTTTTGACATCTCTTTTAACCTTATATTCATTTTGTTCATAAACTGAACTAATTGCAATACAAATTAATTCTGTATTTATGCATACTTTGTAATAAAAATGGGAAATAATAAAGCATGCTTTTTCCTTTTGTATAATAACTCAATAAACAGTTCTAGGCAGGGACCACGCCTTTTATAACCCAAGTATTTGGTAACACAGTTCATGGCACACAGAATGTAAACTTCATAAGAGCAGACCTTTTTGTCTGTTTTATTCATTGCTCAATAAAATATTTGTTTTATGAGTGAATGAATGAGTAGGAAGTACTTATAAATATTTGTCAAATCAGTTGTGATATACTTGAGTAGTTTTCATGATGCTGACTAGAGAGTTTCTTGCTCAGCTGGAGGGAGAGAAGGGGCCTATTTTTTTTCTATTCTTTTAATCTATATTTTAAAAATACTTATTGGAGTATAATATACATATGGAAAATTGCATGAATCATAAGTGATCAGCTCAATTAATTTTTATAAACTGAACACATTTGTGCAACTATCACCCAGATCAAGAAGTAGGGAGCCTAACTTTTAAGAGCATTACTTCAGAAAAGTCATTTTCATATAATTTGGTGAGAGTTTGAGTCTGGAGTGACTCAAATATGGTGGTTAGCTGTTTTACAGACAGATAATTGTAAAGTCTTAGGTACATCTGACTTTTTCCTTTCTAGATATGATTAAAGGAGAATATCAGATGTCAGATTTCCTATGCTGTTGTTGCCTGGGCCAAGTGATTATGACACTCATTTTATACCCAACATGATAAATAGTGTTACTAATAGTTCATATTTTAGGGATGTGAGACAATGAGTTTTTACTGAAAGTTACTGTAGTTCGTGTCAAATATGGCAGATGTGTCATAATATGTATTCTTCCCTTTAGAAAAGGATCCTATATCTAAATTCATTCTTCTTATAAGTACGTCCAAGAGTCTTTCTGAATCCATTGTTAAGAAGCAATATGAAATGCCATACTTTAGACTTTAAACTTTAGAGTCATGACTACCAAAATACAAGTTTGTTTTTAAAAAAGCCTTCTCTAGCCCTGACTGGTTTAACTCAGCGGGTAGAGCGTTGGACCTGCGGTCCAGAGAGACCCAGGTTCAGTTCCCCCTAAGGGCATGTACCTCGGTTGCAGTTTGTCCCCGGCCCTGGTTGGGTCGTGTGGGTGGCAACCACTCGATGTGTCCCTTTCACATTGATGTTTCTCTCTCTCTCTCTCTCTCTCTCTCTCTCTCTCTCCCTCCCACTCTATCTGAACAAAAAATGGAAAAATTTCCTCGGGTGAGGACAAAAAAAAAAAAAAGCCTTCTGTAGCCCCATTAGATAATTTATTTTTAAATTTCCTAACATCTAGAGCAGGTTTTCGCAGATTTTTTTTCTTAAAGGGCTAGGTAGTAAATATTTAGGTTTGAAGGTCATACTTTCTCTGCCACAACTACTCACTCTGCTGGTGTAGTGAAAGCAGCTATAGATAATACATAAAGGAATGAGTGTGGCTGTGTTCCAATAAAATTGATTTACAAAAACAGGTGCAGCAGAGTTTGCTGACCCCTGATCTAAAATAAAGCCTTGACAAGTGGACACTAAAAATGAAATTGTATAAGGGAACCCATCATTCAGTAATATAAGTAACACATTTATTGAGTGTGTGCTCTTTGCCAAACCCAGGACTAAATGGTAATTAAATTATGGTATTATATCCACTCACTGGAATGTTACGATCATTGAAAATGATCACTTTGAAGACCAAATAATATGGGAAAATGCTTTTAAGTGGGAATTCATGATAAAAGTTTTAAGTTTATATCTTAATAAATATGGACTTCTAGAAGGAATTTATGAATTTGTGTTAGGTAGAAGTTTTTCTATATTTCAGACTGTCTGCAATGTTTTTATATACCAAAAATAATTTTAAAATGGCATCAGGAGATATCAATTAAAACTGTTGTTTTTAATCACTACTGTGTAGTATGAAAAAGAGAAGCTTTGCAAAACTATTATTCAGTGATGTCCCCAGGCCTTTTTACTTAATCATATAAGATTGACATTTGAGGAGAATGTATTGTTCTGTTCAAGATGTATTGTCATTTCTCTCTTTTTAACATTTTTTTCTCTTTTAACAGTGCCCTTATGTCTGCCATTTCTTATATTTACTTACCAAAAAAGAGAATGGTGAGCATTTTTATTCCAGTTATATTACTTTCACTCTGTGGAATTAGCATTTGTATTGGCCTTTATAAAGTTAACTATTAGCATTAGTTCTGTGACAGGATTTTGTAGGAATTGCTTTTTAGTACTTTTATCTAAGAGCATCTGCTTAATGGCTTAACTGAATAGGGTGTTTATATGCTTGATGTGTTATAAGAAGAAACTGTATGAGCTACATTGGGTTCTTTTTATTGTAAATCACATGCATAGTACTTTTTTGTTTTGTTTTTTACCTTTACTAGTCAAACCATTTCGCGTGAGAAAACTGCTTGATCTTCAGGCGAAAATGGTGAGTACCAAAAAGACCCAAAACTAGCCAGTGTATTGGGCTAGGCTTTGGGGGTATAAAATGGAATGAGTCATTACCTTCAAGAACTTATTGCCCGGGCAACTCAGTCAACAAAATAAAACAAAATCAAACTGGGGACAAGGAGAAGTGGTGATGCTAGAGAGAAATTTTATGGTATGAATAGGATTTAACTAGGCCAAGAAGGAAGAGCAGCACATTCCTGACAGAAGGAACAGCATGAGCAAAAACGTATAGATGTAAAACAGCAGAAACTGTTTAGGGAACTGGGTTGGTATGGCCGGGAAATAAGTGTCAGGGAGTAGTCAGAAACAACTACTTTATTTTATTGAAATAAAGTGACCAGTTTATTTTTTGTGTGGATGTGATCTAGGAAAGCATTCTTTTCTGGATACTTAAACTTCAGTATATTCCCTGACAGCTCGCTTGTATTGTTATTTCCACTATACCTGCCAGGCAACAGAAGTCTGTGAAGCTTTGGATATAAAACAATAGGAAGTTCTAGTGCTTTGCCTAATTGCTGCAACCTGCAGGACCTACCCAAAGACATTCAAATTTAATGAAAAACACAAACACATGTGCACATTTGTGCTTCTCCAGTGTGAGGTTTCCTGTTAGTACAATTCAATGATTGTTCTTGTTTTATAGCTTCTTGTTTTGGTTCTACGAGTACAATATCTTCTCTTAGCTCTGAGAGGATATTAATGACAACTTTTCATCCAAATTGAATTTCACTTCACATTAATAGCAATTGTGAAAAAGTTGTACTTTTTTTCCTGTGTTAATAGCAAAACATTTCAACAGAATTAGAAAATTCTTACCATAAATAAAATCTTGCTGGTTTGTATTAACTGAAATAGTGTATGTTCAGGTGTATGATTTAGTACATGATTGTCTAAAAATTTTAAATCCAAACATTCACTGTATGGCTTCATTATTAACATTATATACAGTACATTACTAAATTATCCCATTATCAATGCCCATGTATAAAGATGCATTCATAAAATTGTTTTGATTAGCTGGATTTTGTTAAATTTGTTCAAGTCCAATAATATGAAACCAAGAAGACATAGCCATGCTCACATGTAACCGAATATATATAATGGTAACAGCCATAGTCAGCACACAAGAACAGATACACTGGATATGTGAATTTCTGGTACCTGTAAAGGCATGTATCCATGCCCCATAACTCCTGATTGATCCATGGAGGAAACAAAACGCAGAAATTGTCTTTCTAGTGGCAAGCATGACTGGTAGGAAGCAGAGCAGGTATGTTGTTAATTTACACACACCAGGGCCTATTGAGAGCAATCTTTGGAACAGGAAGGGGAAGTTAGGTGGGGTTGGTGAGGATTATTTCTGGGATTCTCCCTCTACCAGGCATGAACTTGTATGTCTCAGGCTGTGATTTTTTTTTTAATGTTCCCAGATTTGTCTCTTTTTCCTCAGAGTTCCTTTCTTCAGTTTAGTTCCTTTCACGGTAGAGGCTTTTCTCTTATGCCTAGTAAACCTTGTTAGTTCATATTTAATAATAAAACACTAAAATGGTGATTGGAAACTTGTGTGTGTGAACAGGACTTGTTCATTGTCAGATCTTAATATTTCTTTCATTGTGTCACTTTTCCCAGAGAGGAATTCTGTCTCTCCTGCCTAGGCGTTGTATTAGTCAGGCTTCTCCAGAGAAACAGAACCAATAGGATGTGTGTGTGTGTGTTTATACACACACAAAGATAAATTTATTATTTATTATAAGGAATTGGCTCACATGATTATGGAGGCTAGCAAGTCCAAAATCTGCAGGGTAGGCCAGAAGGCTGGAGACCCAGGAGAGCTGATGATCTAGTTTGAGTCCAAAAGCAGTCTGCTGGGGAATTCTCTTTCTTCTGGGAGGTTGGTCTTTTTGTTCTATATAGGCCTTCAACTGATTGAACAAGGCCCACCTACATTATGGAGGGCAATCTGCTTTACTCAAAGTCCATTGATTTAAAAGTAGATAATCCAAAACACCTTTACAGAAACACCCAGAATAACGTTTGACCAAATATCTGGGCACCCCATAGCCCAGCCAAGTTGACACATAAAATCAACCATCACAGGGATAGGAACTGGCTATTAGAACTCTGGAACATAAGCAAGGGGTGGAGAGAGGTCCTGGTACACCCTTCCTCTATTGTGTTTCTTCAGAGAGTAAAACCCTTATGTTTGCCTACAAGTGTAGTGAAGGAATTTAGGGTTCTAACTACTTCTTTGGTAGGCTTTCGACCATTCCTATTTTTTGCCCCTCTTGCAGCTCCACTTTTCAGAGGTATCTGGTTCCACAAATTCCTGTCTTCCTGGGAGTTCTCAAGCATGGATCTACTGCTTTTGAGACTTTTTTCTGTTTCTGCCTTAGGCTTCATTTTCTCTGTTCTGTTAAGTTGGTTACTATTTGTTCATCTTTATTCTGGGTTTCAAAATCTTGTTGAGATCTCATTTGCTGTTGTCTCCTCTCTTGTTCTCTTTGAACTTGTGCTTTATGCTTTTTTCATTTCTTTACTTTTTAGTAGGGCTTTGGGAGAACCCAGAGTTAAACACATATGTTCAATATGCCATGTTTAACTGAAAATTTCTCCTTTTTTTAAAAAAGGGAGTGTTGCCCTGACCGGTTTTGGTCAGCGGTTAGAGTGTCGGCCTGGGTTCGGTTCCTGCTGGGGGCGCGTGCCTCGGTTGCAGTTTGTCCCCAGCCCTGGTTGGGTCCTGTGGGTGGCGGCCACTCAATGTGTCCCTTTCATGTCGATGTTTCTCTCTCCCTCTCTCCCTCCCACTCTATCTGAACAGGATGTCGAGGGGTGTCCTCAGGTGAGGATAGAAAAAATAAAAATAAAAAAGAGAGTGTTAACTTTTTTTTTCTTTTTCTTTTATTTATTTATTTATTTTTTTGTTACAGATGTTTCTCCTTTTTTACCCCATTGACACCCTCCTCCCCATCCCCCCAACCCCATCCCCGGCTTTGTTGTCCATGTCCATTGGTTATGCATATATGCATATAAGTTCTGTGATTTATCTCTTCCCTCCCCCCACCACCCCTTCTTCTGAGGGTTGTCAGTCTGTACCCCAGTTTCACATCTCTGGGTCTACCCTATTCCTCAGACTGTTATGTTCATTATATTCCACAAATAAGTGAGATCATGTGGTATTTGTCTTTTTCTGCTTGGTTTGTTTCGCTTAGGATAATACTTTCCAGGTCCCTCCATGTCATCTCAAAGGATAAGAGATCTTTCTTTCTTACAGCTGCATAGTACTCTATTGTGTATATGTACCACAGCTTTTTTATTCATTCGTCTACTGATGGACACTTGGGCTGTTTCCAGATCTTAGCTATTGTAAATAGCTATGAACATGGGGGTACATATACTCTTTCTGATTGGTGTTTCAGGCTTCTTAGGGTATATTCCTAGAAGTGGGATCACTGGGTCAAATGGCAGTTCAATTTTTAATTTTTTGAGGTAACACCATTAACTTTTTTTTAACAACAGAGATAGGTTTAGTTAAGTAGCCAGTAAATTCTAAAGTTCTCTTCACTTCTGAATATTTGCTCTATCAAAAACCATTTCAACTGAAAGCAAACACTCTGATACTAATTGATATGAGTAGAGAGATCAGAAGATATTTTGGTATAGATAAATGGGGCCATTTTGGTTTTGCTAAAATAAATTTAATTTCAAGAAGCTGTTATAAAATAGGAATATTGTATTTCTAAGCCTCATTTTCTACCTTCCTAATTTGTACAATATTTGATTCAACAAAATTGTACTATGATAAAGTAATTTGGTTACTTCGTTGGAATTCATTTTAGTGGTATGCTATCTCTGGATAGCCAGATATATTAAACGTGTATCCAGCAGTAATGATTTCTTTCATTGTAAAATTAATGTTTTTGCTAAGACTTATTTCAGTTATAGGAAGCAGCTTGGCTGCTACATACCCATTGCTCGATTTCCTAATCAATTTTTCAGGAATTATGATAATGTATTAATATTTTCATTGTTCTATTTTCTTGGTTTCCCTTTTTGTCTTCCCACCTTCTTGTTCAAATCAAGAATGAGTGAACTTTGAGTCCTGAATATGCTACCAGTGCTATGTTAGCAGGTATCACTGGTCAGTTTAAGGCATAGGCAAAGAAGAAGAGAGAAAATATAAGGAAGAAGTAAAATAGAAGGAAAGGTCATAAAAGAGAAGATAACAGATTGGCGAGGGTTGTTTTATGATCGTTGATTTAAATGCCTGGTTATTCATTCCTTGATTTTCTATAGCATCTTCCTATGGTGATATTGCATAGTAAAATTAGGAACTGGATATATATTTAATCTGTTTATTTTATTGTTACTCTTCTTTCTTGTTGACCACAGAATTGAAAACTCTTATTTTATTTCACAGGGAAAGCAGCCTTATCTCCATGCTTTGTTGTCGCTGTATAAGTTCTTTGCTCCCACTTTGATTTCTATATCTTTGCCTGTAAAGAAGAAGGTAAGGGATTAAGGAGTGATAAGTCATATTAAGGTTGAAATATGTTATTTTATGTTTATTTACAAATTTGGACTGAAATGTTCACTGCATACTGTATTGTGGTACTGTTTCTGGGATTTTTTTTAGGGATTGGCACTTCATTTTGATTCAATTTGATGTATTTAATAGATTCTTGATAAGTAAAAAATCTTTAAGTGGATTTGCATGGGTGCAAAGTATTTTGCAATCAATATACTTTCAATTAATGAAGAGTTTTAGATTTTATGTTGCTTCAACTTATGGGTACCTACTCTCATGTATTTTATATCAAAATTTATAGATCTATTTTAAGAATTCAGAGAATCTGTGGAAGACCGCTCTAGTTGCTGTGAGGCAGAGGAATCAGGGGCCTTCTCCAGAACCTCTGAAGCTGATGTTAGGTCCAGATAATGTCCGTCCTGGAAAAAGAGTAAGTATCTAAAACCTCAAATGACTTTGCAAGGCCTTCTTTTATTAAATCCAAACAACAACCATTCAGATGTTGGAAGAGATTATAAATATTTATACGTTTTTATTACCCGGGATTCTATGCAAACCACATTCAGACTCCATTCACTGAAACACCTTAACAACTGCTTTTACATTCATAGTTTGTAGTCTGTTTAGTTTATTGATAGATTATTTTATTGTCTTTCTTCTTTAGAAATGGAATTCTCACTCGCTTATACCAGTGCTAAATTCCAGTAGCCACAGTAAAGAATATGAAACAAAAGGGATGAGTCTTTCTGATTATCTCAGTAGGAATAGAGCATTTCCGGTAGATCAGCTTAAGACCTTCCCTCAACTCTTACAGAACATTCATTGCTTAGAGGTATGTGACTGGACCATGTGCCGATTTTGCATTTTCCATTTGCTCCTCATGGTCTTTCTTTTTGTTATATATTTCCTATCTGATGATTTACTTGTTACTCTGATCTACTTTTTACATACTTAAGTTGACCGATTGCTCTATCTTTGTAGCTGCCTTCTCAGATGGGTGCGGTGCTGAACAGCTCTCTGCTACTTCACTATATTAATTGTGTCAGAGATGAATCACTCTTATTGAGGCTCTATCATTGGTTGAGTCAAACATTACAAGAAGGTAAATATTGATGCTTAAAAGTTGGATGATTAAGGGAGGAACAAGATAGTTTACAAATGAGTTTCTTTTATAAGGGTGCCAGATTCTAGACAGGAGGAGCCTTCATATGCCGTAATTATTTCTTGGATAATAATCATATTCACAGCCTCACAGCCTAAATGCTTCCATTGTTATAATTATAAAGGCAATAATAAAGGAGGTGTGTTAAGGAAATACTGCTACCAAACTCACTAGGTGTCTCCACTTGATGACCATCACAATCCAAGGCCTCTTTATCTTCGTATGTCCAGAAACTTGGCATTAAGCTCCCAGAACCTATGGATCAATGCTAACCAAACTCAGAGTAGACTTGCATAAGCCAGAATATCACATTTCATGCTAGAAGTGATTCTGGTGACCAGAGTGTTCATGTCTGCCAACTAGACTATCCCCTGTCTGTTATGAGTATACATGGGAACCAAATTAGTCATTAGATTTCTTAATTATAGAATTGAAGGAAAGGGCACTGAGGGAGTTTTTCATCTAGGCCATAGTAAATCCTGATCATTTGATTCCTCCAAGGGAGTCAGTTTCTCTAAAGAGTATTTTCTTTACCAGATTGTCTCTTTCCTGAATATAAGCAACTCCTGACTCTTTAAGTGTTTAAAAGTTGGTTTTAGTCTGTTCTAGGTTAACTCTCCTTTTACTACTTGGAATCTTTCTTTAGGCAGGATATGATACAGTTTATTAGATTTCCATGTACTAAAGTTCTACCACTCTTATATTACTCTCAACTCACCCTAATTGAAGTTCAGGGCATTCATAAATTTATTTATTTATTTAAACAAGTGTTTTTAATGTTTTATATAATCTTGGAACTGCGGTTGCTTAATAAGTGGACAATTTCCATATGAAAAGAAAAGTAATATTAAGACTTTTTAATTTTACTCTTCCTGAAAGTGGCTTAAGGTGACCTCTGAAAATGGTTCATTATTCACTTGACCCAGAAAACCCCACAAAGTCATGCATATCAAGAAGATCAAACCTTTGTGTTCACTTAAAGAACATTCATGAAACTGCCCAGGCCATCAAGGGTATTTGAAAAGCCACCGAGTATCTGAAGGATGTCACTACAGCAGCAATGTGTGCCATTCTGTTGCTACAGTGGTGGAGTTGGTAGGTGTGCCCAGGCCAAACAGTGGGGCTGGACACAGGGTCGGTGGCCCAAAAAGAGTATTGAATTTTTGCTGTACATGCGTATAAATGCAGAGAGTAATGCTGAACTTAAGAGTTTAGTTATAGATTTTCTAGTCATTGAGCACATCCAGGTGAACAAAGCTCCCAAGATGCGGCATAAAACTTACAGAGCCTGTGGGCAGATTAACCGATACATGAGCTCTCCTCGCCACACAGAAATGATCCTACTGAAAAAAGCAGGTTGTTCTAAACCAAAGATGAGGTTGCACAGAAGAAAAAGATAGCCCAGAAGAAACTGAAGAAACAAAAATTTATGGCCCAGGAGTAAATTCAACATAAAATAAATACTAATAAAATTTTTTCCCTTTATTGATTTTAGAGAGAGAGGAAGTGAGAGGGAGAGACAGAAACATCTATGAGAAAGAACATCGACTGGCCGCCTCCTCCATGCCCCCCAGTGGCGATCGGGCCCACAACCTGGGCATGTGCCCTGACCAGGAATCCAACCAGCAACCTTTTGGTTCATGGGTCGATGCTCAACCACTGAGCCACACCGGCCAGACAATAAATACTAATAAAAGTAAAAGCAGGAAAAAAAAAAAAGTTTTTAAATTTTAAAAATGTTTAAATACTAGCTAGTCATGGTTTTTAAAAATTCAAACAATAGAAAAATGAGGACATTCATAAATTTAAATTCATACGTTTAGAGATCATTATGTGACATAAAGCTAGTCACAATTATTATATGTGAATTTTAGCAGTATATTTTTTCACTATATTATTGAGGAACATCTCACTGTCACCTCCACATACCTGTTGCACTTTATAGTGTGAATTGGCTAGGGGGTATGAGAGTGATCGCTTGTTTATATTTGTCATTTATTTGTTACCTTTTAGAGTTATGGTAATTAAGTTTTATGTAGTTTTTACTGCTGTGCAGCCTGATGCTCATGTTTAATGTTTCTGCACTAGAATGTATTTGGTACAAGGTGAATAATTATGAATGTGAAAAGGAATTTACCAACTTCCTGGACACTGTCATCAAGGCAGAGTGCTTCTTACAAGTAAGATTCCACTTGCACACACTCCACCACTTCTTACTAAATTTTATTTGGTTATCTATTGAAAACCTTTATCTTTAGTGCTCAACATCTTTTGTAAATAATATTTGTTCAATTCAAAACTCATTATAAATAGAGCCTAGTTGAATTGACATTTGTCTTTGTACTGTTGGATTTGAAGAAAATTATTTGTTAAATTATGTAAATAAGAGAGAATGGCCTATAATTTAAGAGAACAAACTGAAGGTGTAATCAGATGCATTCAATTAGTTGAATTAATTGGTAAGATAAATCTCACAGGGTCACTGCTTGTGTTCTTATAATCAACAAACATTTTTAAATGTCGGGTATGTTCCAATTAATTCTTTGGCCTGGATAACCCTGAATTGTACTTTAACCTGCAACTCAGGTATCAGTACCATTAGATGTTTGTTCTATGTGCTTCCTTAGCTCTCTTGTGTTTACCTGTATCATGGCACTTTCAGCATCTATTTCCTACACATTTTGAGCTCCCAGTTGGTTGGAACCATGTCTAAATTTTCTTCACGTACAGGTATTCAGCTTGGTACTTGGTACAAAAGAGATACTCAACAAATGTTTGTTGAATAAATCTTAAGGATTTGGCATGAAATTGGAAATTGGGTGTGGATGATGCTGGTGAGGATAAAGGGATAAATTTAAGATGACTTTTTAGGTTTCCTGCTTGAGAGGATAATGATGGCATTCAGTGAAGAGGGGAATATAGGAGGAGCAGGCTTGAAAGGAAAGATACATTTGATTTAAAAGATACCTGTGTGACATCTTAAGACATCATAAATAGTAGGCAGTTAAATAAGGATTCTGGAGTGCAGGAATGAGAATTGGACTAGAAATGCAGATTAGGACTCCTCATGATATAGGTGGTGGTTTTAGGCCACATTATGGATGAGATTGTCCAGAGAATTCATGCTATCAAAAGAAGGTAGGGAATAGAGTTCTGGTGCACACCACATGTAAGGCTCAGGGTGACACAGGGATAAAGAGGGAAACAAAAGGAAAAAGGATCCTCACTGTGGTAGAAATATAAACAGCCTAAACACTCAGGCCTTTCCAGATGGAGCTACCTAGAGTTTGGATTTGGTCTATGGTCTCTGCTGAAATTCCAGCTTTATTATATAGCACTGTATATATTTTGTTGACTCTTCAAGTGACTGCATGTACTCCAAAATAATACAATTTTATTTATTTGTCTTTGAAAATACTCTGAAACTTGACTTTTTACCTTCTTTCCAACTGATGAAGTTTATGGTATTTGAAAACTATGTTGGTAAAGATGGTAATATATCCAAATAGTAACCATCTGATTCTTTTTGTGGGGAAGTCTTGCACCAACCCAAGGTTTTTAATTATATTGATGACAAAATTAGTCTAAGAATAACACAAAATTAGTCTAAGAATAACACAACTATATCACAGAATAAACTGGTTATTTAGAGTACAGTCAAGACTGGAGAATTCCGTAAAAGGTTTTCTTATCAACTTGTGTTATAGGAGGGGTTTTATTCCTGTGAAGCATTCCTGTATAAGAGTCTTCCTCTGTGGGATGGCTTCTGCTGTCAATCACAGTTCCTTCAACTAGTGAGCTGGTTTCCTTTTAGTAGCTTCTCTGGTATGTATCATGAAAATTTGTAGTATTATGTAATTCAATGTAATATTAATTAAAAGGACTCTGAATATATATATTTTTAATTCCTAGAGGTGAAACCATTTATTTTTGACCGTCTGGCACAGCTCTTCTTTACATCAACCATTTATTTCAAGGTAAAAAAAAATTATCATGCTTAGATTGAGTAGGAAATGTTATCCTATGGCCAGTGGTATGATTCCAAACCTACATTACTGCAGTGGTTTTCTAAAAAGATTCTGTTGTACCTGGACTTCAGGTACTACATCACTGAAATCAAAGTTAATGTATAGTTTTCTGTTTTTAAGGTTTTTGTTGCATACAGTTTTCTTAAACTATTTCCTCTTGTAGCAGATGAAAAAGTTGCAAATGAGTATTAATAACAACAAACTGGGAAATACTTAGCATGTTTAGTTTGATTATGGTGGTTGACATTTTTGCAGATAACACTTATTCATTTCACCACTACTTATTGAGTACCTACTATGTGATAGATGTCCTTATAACTTTTCTTCACCTTAAATCACCTACTGTTGGGTACATTTATAGGAAAAATATATTGTCCTGGAGTTTGTCATAATAAAATTGCATTTTATTAATTACCTATCACATTAACTTGAAGTTTATATTACTTGTAGTTAACAACTAGACCAATATCATTTATATGACAATACACACCACTTCTCCCAGTTAATATATTTTCAGGAACTTCATTTTACAGCTTTTTGTGATTCTCTTCTGATCTTCTAATTCGGTTATTCTTTTTTTTTATATATATATATAATTTTTTATTTATTTTTTTGTTACAGATGTTTCTCCTTTTTTACCCCATTGGCACCACCGTCCCCACGGTTATTCTTTATTCCTTCTCTTATTCCACCAGTCTAGAGAGCTACTTATCTATAAATATTAGGTTGAGCCATATGAAATTTCCATTTTTGTAGATCAGGGATGTTTGACAATTGGCAATTTTATATGGCCCAGCCTAATAAGTAAATATACATTTACACACACACACCTATATATTTCCCTTTAAAATTTTTTTTCTTTTTATTGATTTTAGAGAGAGAGAAAGTGAGAGGGAGAGAGAAATAGAAACATTGATGAGAGAGAACATCAATTGGCCACCTCCTGCATACCCCCCACTGGGGATTGGGCCCACAACTTGGGCATGTGCCCTGACCAGGAATGGAACCAGCGACCTCTTGGTGCATGGGTCGACGCTCAACCACTGAGCCACACCAGCCAGACAATATATATTTCTATTTGAGAGTGAGAGGTAGGGAGAGGAAGGGAATGGAGTAAGGGAAATAGACATGAGCCAAGGACAGAACTTGGAATACTCATTTAATTCTCAGCTAAAAAGGAGAGGAGCCTTTTCAATAAGTATTAAAATGTAATGTTAATAACCAGTGTTACTCAAATAAATTTAATCTTTAAAAAGTATGAAAAGAAGCAGGAAAACAATAGTGCCAAGTAAACAGACAATACCAGGGTATCAAGGAGTGAAGTAATAATATTGCCATTATCCCAAAAAGGTCCAGAAAGATAAGTACCAAAAAATTTTCTTGGAATTGATAATTCAGAGATTTTAGCTACCTTTGTGAACAGTTTCATTGTAGTGTGGTAGAAGCCAGATTGTGGAAATTGAGGAATCAATGAGAAGTGAAGATAAGACAATGAGTATAGCCTATGCTTCAAAAACTTTAGCTAAAAAGGGGTAGAGAGATAGCTATAGCGGGACTTTGAATCAAGGGAAGAATATAGATTTTTTTTTTCTTTTTGTTTTTTGTCTCCAGAGTGAGAGAAACCTAAGTATATTTATAGTTAGAATAGGAGCCAGTTAAGAAAAGGGAGATGTTGAAAATGGAGAGCAGATGGGGCATAATTGATGGTGCAAAGTTTCAGAAGAAACATGAAGATACTGGTTGAAGACTACACAGAGAGATTTGCTTGAATGGATGTTGAGGGGTTGGCAGGTACCACTTATTCCCTAAGACTGGAGACAAAGACATATCAATAGGAGATACACACACACACACACACACACACACACACACACACACACACACATATCCAGTTGGGGGAAAAGGCAAGAAATTGAAATACTTTGTACCTAAAAATGTTAAATTTCTCAAAATAAGTGTGTTGTAGAAGATAGAAATGAATGGGGGGGGGCGGTCAGGAGGGTATTATGTGCCTAGAACAGCCACTGAGAATCAAATGAGACAGAACTGATTGAAGATAACTAATAGGATTATTGAGTGCCATTTAGGGCCCAGATGAAATTGGAGACCATAAAGTTGGAGTGGTGCCAATTTGTATAGTTTGTGGTGTTCTTTAGCTCAGATGTGGGAGCAAGGTGGATTATGGGGTTGAATCCGTTAGGATTTTGCTGGTGAGTGATCTACAGTGTGGTCTACTCTGGATTGATAGGTGAGGCCAAGAGTAGGCTAAAAAGACTGAAAAGTGACATTAAACATGAAGAATCAAGGGATTGAATGTCCCTGAAGTTAAAGAGCAAGAATAACTAGTTGGAGTTGAGGGTGTGAGAAAGCTGGAAGAATAGGAGATCATAACAAGAAAGGATAATCATAGATTCAGTTTATGATAAAGTTTAGTGTGTGGCTGTGAGTTTGTAACTAAGGTAGAGTGAAGATGAAGGCTCTGGTTTGAGGTCAAGGAACTGTGAAGCTGAAGTATTGGGTGCATCATTTTCATGGACACTGACATAACTGAGCTGTTGATGACAGGACTTGAGGCAGAGTGTGCTAAGGTTCTCAATGAATGTAGATGAGTTTCCAGGAGGTAGATAGCAGAGATATGTAAAGATAAAAAATAAAAGGGAGTGTACATCAAAAAGAAAGTGTTTTTTTTTTATATAAGTAAAGTGGAGTAATAGTTTGGAAATAGTGTTGAAGATGGATAGCTTTTGTGTTGTGTTCAAAAAAACAAAGGATAGTCAAATTCATAAGAAAAAACTGACTATAGCCAAGTGCAATCTGAAATAAGGTTTTTGATCTTAGCTTAACAAATTCAGCTAATGATACTGCTAACATTCTGTTCTTAAAAGAAGATTTAGTTCTGATTTTATATTTACTTTCTAAAAGAAGGGGCTTACAGATGTTCATCAGTAGATGAATGGATAAAAAAGCAGTGGTATATATACACAATGGAGTACTATGCAGCTGTAAGAAAGATCTCTTATCCTTCGAGATGACATGGAGGGACCTGGAAAGTATTATCCTAAGCGAAACAAGCCAAACAGAGAAAGACAAGTATCATGTGATCTCACTCATTTGTGGAATATAATGAACATAACAGTCTGAGGAATGGGGTAGTGCCAGAGACATGGAAGTGGGGTACAGACTGACAATCCCCAGAAGAGGGGGTGGTGGGGGAGAGATAAACCACAGAACTTATATGCATGTATGCATGAACAATGGACATGGACAACAAAGCTTGGGACAGGGTGGTGGGAGGGGGAAATCAGTCGGGTAAAAGGAGAAACATCTGTAACAAAAATTAATTAATTAAAAAAGAAAAAAGAAATAAAATAAAAGAAGGGGCTTACATTCTGTTCCCATATTAGCAGTGAGAAGCTGGCGAACTGCTTACCTCCAAGTGTTGAAGTGGGATATGGAAATTTATTTGTGCTGGGTGGTGAGGGAGAGCCAGGATATGATGAGAGTAAGAAGACAGAGAAGGTATACTTTGAAGAATATGAAGGTGTAGGTTTAGATTACCATGGAATAGAGGTTCTGGAAACTGCAGTTGAAAGATTTGGGAAGAATGGGATCAGTGAAAGGGGGAAAGAAGTACAGAGAAGTATAGAGTACAAGAAGGAGAAGTGACTAGAGGGGCTTTCATTCATACCTAAAAGTGGGGAGTCAATGTCCTTTTTAAAGGTCCAAACCTGTAGAGATTTTTTGTAAATTTATTTTATGAGATTACATGAAGGTGGGAGAAAGCAAGACAGGGATCGGATTACAAGATAGTTAGCAAGGTTAGGAGCTCCCTTGCAGGTGGTCTGGAAAAGAGGATTACCTCTGGTGTTTGAAAGGTGGCTTAAACCTAGATGCACAAGAATAATGAACAGTACTTGCTTGAAAACCTTTTACTAATGAACTTACAGGTCTGGGGCGTGATTACCCGTCATGACCTGCCCAGTTACGAATTAATGATCAGATCACCCTGTGAGGTTACTTTCAGTCACTGAGCTTCCACATACCCCCTTTTTCATTCACATTCTAAAAATATTAATTGAACTGTTTCTATGAAGTAGCAGTGAGCACTGTATCACTGGAGATGCTCAGATAGTATCTAGGCCATTGTTTATTAAGGATGTTTTTTGTTTTTTTTTTATCCTTACCCGAGGACATTGTTCCATTTTTTGTTCAGGTAGAGTGGGAGGTAGGGAGAGGAACAGAGAGAGAGAAACATCAATGTGAAAGGAACACATCGAGTGGCTGCCACCCGCACAACCAACCAGGGCCGGGGACAAACTGCAACCGAGGTACGTGCCCTTAGCGGGAACCGAACCCGGGTCTCTCTGGACCACAGGCCAACGCTCCAACTGCTGGGCCAAACCGGCCAGGGCTTATTAAGTATGTTTAAGAAGCTTTCCTGTATTAGGTTTTGGGGTGGTTTGGATTGCTTTCAAAGTTATACATATTATGATTTATCCTAAGCACACTTCTGTCAAAATTATTTGTGTATGTCAATGATTTCCTGGAAAATCAAGACAAAGCCTGAGAAAAGAAAGACTAGGATTTTTTGTTTTCCATAGTCACAGAAGACAAGATAAATTTTGTCACCATCAACAAGGGAGTAAATTGTAGGTGTAGACAAGGTGAAAAGGGTGGGAAACTCTTATCTGTGGCAACTTCAAAGGATCTCTGAGGAGAGACCATAGGGGTGGGTGATGTTATATTTGATAATATAATATATGTTACAAATGAATGTAATTTAGAGAAACAAGAGTCTGTTCCTGGGCTGGTAAGCTGGGGTCAGTCCAGTAGAGAAATTTGCGTAATAAACTTGTTCCTGCATTCATCTGTCTCCTGGAGACTGATCAGGTTGGAGCAGTACCTATCGGGTTCTGAATGGGATGCAGTCATCTCCATGGCCCCTTCTACTTCAAACTCACTGGTTTAGATTGTTAGTTCTCAACACTATGTTATATTTGAATGTTTTTACAAATGACTTTGTTTTGCCCCCTCAGTGTAGTGTTCTTGAGAACCTGAAAGAGCTACTGCAGAATTGGCTGTTGGGGCTTTCTATGGACATCCACATGAAAACTGTGACAGACAGTTCTCTGTGAGTTATCAACCCTCCACAAGAGATGGATCTGTATAAAAATGTTTGAATATGGAGTTTAATAGTATAGCATGAGACCTAATTGTTTTATATAAATGGTTATTCGTACTTTTCTGAAAGAGTTTTTGTTACTTTTCACTCTTCTTCCCCACAACTTACAAGGAAGGTTATTTCTTCAAGTTCTAGTATATAAATCAGAAAGCAAATCCTAAGCATCTAAGTGACTTGCAAGAGTTAATATAGCAAAACATCGGAGAATTGACATTAAAACTGGCAACTTTGGTTTCCACTCGGTTTAGCTCACTTTATATAATGTAGTCTTATATATGTAAAATAAGTTTTGATGCTGGCTAGGAAAATCTGTAATTTTTCTGTACAGTTTTGTTTTTTGTTTCTCTCATGTATTTTGGTGATAGACATGAATTTGCATTATGTTGATTATTGTTAACAATGTGTGCTTTACCCTCAAAGTGAAAGTAAAAGACTTAAGTTGTTTTGACCCTACCTAAAATATTTGGCTTCTACTATATTCTTTTATCAGCCACATTATTTTTAAAATTAAAAACAATAAAAAGTAGGAAAAATAGCATGATGTTACCCCCATGTACACATCATCCAGCTTCAACAGTTAATCAACACATGGCTAAATTTTTTTTTTTTATTATCTATAACACCTCTCACTTTCCTCCTCTTCCATATTAGATTTTTTATTAATCCTCACCCAAGTTGTATTTTTCCATTGATTTTTTAAGATAGATTGGAATGGAGGGAGGGAGAGACAGAGAGAGAGAGAGAGAGAAAGAAACATCAATGTGTCCACATCGATTGGTTGCCTCCCACATGGCCCTGGGTCTGGGGATTGAATCTTCAACCCAGGTACATGCCCTTGACCAGGAGTCGAACCTGTGACCCTTGGGTCTGCAGGCTGATGCTCTTACCACTGAGCCAGACCAGTCAGGGCTCCATATTAGATTTTTTAAAGTAAAACCCAGACATCATTTTAGCTGTTGAAAAATGATACTGGTATGCCCTGACTTACTTGGTTCAGTGGTAAGCATCGGCCTGAGGACCAAAGGGTCACGGGTTTGATTCCCAGTCAAGAACATGTACCTGGATTGCAGGTTCGATCCCCAGCCATGGTGAGGGTTGTGCGAGAGGCAACCAGTGGATGTGTCTCTCTCACATCAATGTTTCTTTCTCTCCCTCCCTTCCACTCTCTCTAAAAAAAAAAAAAATCAATGAAAAAATATCCTCAGGTGAGGATTAACAAATAAAAAATGATACTACTATAATACCTAAAAAATTAATAGTTCTTAATGTCTTCAAATTCTATATATTATCAGTCAAATTCTTTATCAGATGAGGGTCCCTTAGCCTCAGTTGCAAATAGCTGATGGTTAGCTTGGTTAAAAGATTGGCCTAGACCTATTTTTCTGCATGTTCTTATCCCTATAGTGATCTCCCACTTTGATAGGAGAATGAAGAAAAGCTTCTTGGTAGTAACTTGGGAAATTGTTCTTAACTCTTTGTATTCATTATTGCAATGCTTCCATAAATCTTGTATCACTTTTAGAAGGAAATGGAGCATTTGTGGGTAGTAAAGCTGTGCTCAAAGTGTGGTCCCTGGACCAGGATCATCAGCATCACTTGGGAACTTGTTAGAGATTCAAATTCTCAGGCCCTACCCTAGACTCACTGAAGTAAACTCTGGAGGTAGGGTCCAGTAATCTGTTTGTTAACAAATGCTTCTGCAATTTTGGTGCAAGTCAAAGTTTGAGAACCATTGTCATAAAGAAATTTCATTTAAATGCTTAACCTCTTAGAACACCTCAATTCTATTAAGAATAAATAGTATGTTAGCATCTATAACCTTTGGCCAACTTGAAAGATAAATCTTAGGCATCATCATAAAGGTGTTTTACAAGTTCTGTATTTTCTTTCCAAAAATCCTAGGATCCTTTTTAAATTAGGGTCATACATTTTGGGAGGGCATTTCAAAAGGAGTTCTGCTTTCTAAAATTCCTAAAACAAATAAGTGAACATAAATGTAAATACATTTTCTTGTTGGAATACTACTTGTCATTATATAATGTAGCTCTTAAAAGTTCTCAGTAATTCCTTCTATTGGGGGGATATGGGTGTAATGTCATGCCTCCATCATATGACCATATGCTGTGTGATTCTCAAAGAGGGAGAAAATTGTAGTTGTAAATCACAAGGAAAAAAAGGTAGGAAATCATTTTGAGCACTGGTTCTCCAGGGAGGTATTTTTGGTTGGCACAGTGACGGGGAAGAAGGTGCTCCCTCCATTAGTAGGTAGGAGCCAGGGGTGTTACACATACTGCAGTGGGTTGTGAGTAGGAGGCAATCCTGAACATGAAATTGTTTCATCTGAAATGTCAGTAGTGTCCTTTGGAGACACACGTCAAATGATACTTTTCTGAGCAGTCTCCATTGTACATATTATTTTAGCTGCATTTACCGAGGGCTGCCAAAATTCATAAAATATAGTTTTGCAAATGGCTGGATGACTGTATGGATGCCCGCTTATCTGAATGGTCTCCTAATCTTTCCCTGCTCTCTATGGCACTGAACTATTATGGTGGTGGGAAATGGTAGAGTCATTATCATCTCTTAAGCTCTAAGACTATATATATTATTCCTTTTTCCATGTGCATAACTATTATCGCCTACCTAGAGTAGGGGGTAAAGCTATGAAATCACATTTCTAGGTTTCCCCCTAATCCATTCAACAGTAGGTGGAAGGACAGGAGTGAGTAGATGGATGAATTGAACCAATTTAACCCATGATTTAAAGAGACACAATTCAGTGATTTGGGAAGAATATAAAATATGCAAAACTAGTTTTTACTAAAAGAATGAAATATGCCAAAATTTTTGCTAATTCAGTTTTAGGAAGGAAAGTGATTACAGTTAAAGTGAAAATATTTTATTTAAAATTTTTTTTTTTTAATTTTTTGCAGATAGAGTGGGAAGGAGAGAGAGGAAGAGAGAGAGAGAGAAACATCGATGTGAAAGGAACACATTGAGTGGTTGCCACCGCACAACCCAACCAGGGCCAGGGACAAACTGCAACCAAGGCATGCGCCCTTAGAGGGAACCAAACCTGGGTCTCTCTGTACTGCAGGCTGATGCTCTAACAACTGAGCAAAACTGGCCAGGGCTAAAGTGAAAATATTTTTAACAGCTTGTTAGCTCAGAAATTCAGGCAAAACTGGGTTTTGATTTGTGTACTTCGAAACTAATTTTCTGACTGCTATGGTCCCTGGACAATAGATATTAACTACTTTGGGTATTATCAAAAGTCTGCCTGGAGGTTAATCCTTTATTTCTCTGTTATTAACTAGTAGAGTGATTGCTGAGGATGTTCTATGAGTTGATCTTAATGGTTCCCTAGAGGGCTGTGTAGTTTTATGATTAATCACGGTGGTTTAAAAAAGTGAATTATTCATTGAAACACTGATCATTGAGACTTCCGGTCAAGACGGCGGGTAGGTAAACGCGGTATCGCGTCCTCCCATGACCACATCAAAGTTAAACTAAACTACAGAACAACCATCATTCAAAACCGCCTGAAATCAAGCTGAATGGAAGTCCTACAACTACGGAATTAAAGCAGCAGCCACATCCAGACTGGTAGGAGGGCCGGAGGCGGACGGGCTGGTCCCAAACCCACGTGTGGTGGATAAAAATCAGGAGGACACCTCGGCTGGGAAGGTCCTTCCTGAGGACTGAGTGGTCCCCATCCCACACCAGGTGCCCCGCTCAGGGTTCCAGTGTCAGGAAGAGAATCCCCATCACTTCTGGCTGGAAAAACCAGCAGGAACTGAGGCTCAGGGAAGCTGACATGACTGGAGCCCCAGGCAGCTCCTTCAAGGGAGCTTATCGGACTTATCGGACTCTCTCCCTCTAAGCTTGGAGGGGAGGCAGCTCGAGGGGCACCAGAGACACACAGGGAAGAACTGAGCTGTTTGGCATTGGAGCGAGGGCTGGAGAGGGGGCTTTCTCCTGGACAAACGTGCTGTCAGAGGCCTTTGTTCCTTTGGTGAGCCCTTCCCTGAGGCGGCAGACAGCTGCCATATCTGGGACCCCAGCAACCTGGCTCACACTGGTAGCCCCGCCCTGCTGACTCCCTGAGGCTCCGCCCCACCCAACTTACAGGCCCACCCAAGCTGTTGCCAGTTGCTTAACCATGGGATTGGCCTGTCTTGGATCCTGCTTCAGGTTTTTCCTAAGTTCTTTCTTTTTTTTTTTTTTATCCTCACCCGAGGATATTTTTCCATTTTTTGTACAGATAGAGTGGGAGGGAGAGAGAGGAAGGGAGAGAGAGAAACATCGACGTGAAGGGACACATTGAGTGGCTGCCACCCGCACGACCAACCAGGGCCGGGGACAAACTGCAACCGAAGTACGTGCCCTTAGCGGGAACCAAACCCGGGTCTCTCCAGACCGCAGGCCGACGCTCTAACCGCTGAGCCAAACTGGCCAGGGCTTTCCTAAATTCTTTCAAACAAGCAGCATCTGGTCTTAGCTAGCCCCATACCTCTCGTTAAGTAATACACAGAAACAAACACAGGGAGGCAGCCAAAATGAGGAGACAAAGAAACAGGTCCCAAATGCAAGAACAGAACAAAATCCCAAGAAAAGAACTAAGTGAAATGGAGATAAGCAACCTAACAGATGCTGAGTTCAAAATACTGCTTATAAGGATACTCAGTGAACTCAGTGAGAACCTCAGTGAACTTAGTGAGGGCCTCAAGAGCATAAAAAAGGACCAGTTAGAAATCATGGATACACAGTTAGAATTGAAGGAGGTATTAACTGAAATAAAGAATAATTTACACAGCTTCAATACTAGAGTACGTAAATCCAAGAAGCAAACCATCGATTTGGAATATAAGGAAGCAAAAAATGCCCAATCAGAACAGCAAAAAGAAAAAAGAATCCAAGAAAATGAGGATAGTGTAAGGAGCCTCTGGGACAACTTCAAGAGTGCCAACATTCGCATCTTGGGGGTGCCAGAAGGAGAAGAGCGAGAACAAGAAATCGAAAACCTGTTTGAAACAATAATGGCAGAAAACTTTCCTAACTTGGTGAAGGAAACAGACATACAAGTCCAGGAAGCACAGAGAGTCCCAAACAAGATGAACCCCAAGAGGTCCACACCAAGACACATCATCATCAAAATGCAAAAGGTTCAAGACAGAGAGAATCTTAAAAGCAGCAAGAGAAAGGCAGGTGGATACCTACAAGGGAGTTCCCATATGGCTGTCAGCTGATTTCTCAAAAGAAACTTTGCAGGCCAGAAGGGAGTGGCAAGAAATATTCAGAGTGATGAAAAGCAAGAACCTACAACCAAGATTACTCTATCCTGCAAAGCTGTCATTTAGAATTGATGGCCATATAAAGAGTTTCCCAGACAAGAAAAAGTTAAAGGAGTTCATCACCACCAAACCGTTATTATATGAAATGATGCAAGGTCTTTTTGAAGAAAATGACAAAATATATGAGCAAACAAAATGGCAATGAATACATATGTATCGACAATGGAATCTACAAGCAAAATGAACAGGTAGATCAGAAACATTCTCATAGATACAGAGAACATTTTATTGGTTGCCAGATGGGAGGGGTTGGGAGAATGGGTGAAAAAGGTGAAGGGATTAAGAAGTACAAATTCATTGCTAGACTGACAAACCTCAAAGGGAAAGGGGTTGGGGGGGTGGGAAGAAATAAACCAAAGAACTTCTATGCATAACCAATGGACACAGACAATAGTGTGGGAAAAGCGGAAGGGGGGGAGATTGGGGAGGAGGGAGTCAATGGGGGGAAAATGTGGAACATCTGTAATACATTCTACATTCAACAATAAAGATTTAAAAGAAAGATCTCTTATCCTTTGAGACTACATGGAGGGACCTGGAAAGTATCATCCTAAGTGAAACAAGCCAAACAGAGAAAGACAAATTTCATATGATCTCACTTATTTGTGGAATATAATGAACATAACAGTTTGAGGAATAGGGTAGTCCCAGAGACGCAGAAGTGGGGTACAGACTGACAATCCCCTAAGGAGTGGGGAGGTGGGGGAGGGATGAACCACAGAACTTATACGCATGTATGCATGAACAGTGGACATAGACAACAATCTGGGGAAGGGGCAGGGAGGGGAGGGGGAGGGGGGAATCAGTGGGGGAAAAAAGGAGAATCATCTGTAACAAAAATTAATCAATAAAAAAAAATAAACCAAAAAAAAAGAAAGAAAGAAAGAAAGAAACACTGATCATTTTCTGAAATACCTAACAACTTTTTGCTATATACTATTCCGCTTTAGTTTAGAAATTGTGAGGAATTTTACTAATATGGATATGATTATTATGGTTTCTTGTTGCAGAGAGACAACTTTCAGTGGATCCATGCAGTCTGTGTTCGAACTAATTCACTATGTAGGGTGGCTGTCCACTAATGCATTGCGCTTGGAAAGCAACAGTACTTTCTTGCTGCACTTTGTTTTGGATTTCTACGAGAAGGTAGTACACATCCCATTTACCCTATTTAGATTTTTGTGATGACTTTCTGCTTTACTCATCTGTTATTTCAGTTTTATTTACGATCACTAAGTTGGCCTATGACCTTATTAGCATAGTTAAATAAGCTACATATTTTGAAGTTAATGATTGTGTTCTCACCTGAATAACAGACTTTCATAAAACAAAGTGGAAAAACAAATGTGTTTTTTTTTAAAAAAAAAAATTCCAGGTACCACTTTAATAGACATTCTCTTGAATAATGCTAGCATTAGACAGAAGTCTATCTCTAGCATCACTTTTTGCTCATCCTTTATATGTCTCCAACCCCTGGCAAAAATCAAAAGTATGTTCTTGTTTTATCAAGCCTTTGCTTCCACCTTTCAACTGCATTATTTCTCCCAGCACCTATGATTCTGATGCTTGTCTATTGCTTTGTAATATTCGGCTTGAATAGAACTATTGTCTAGGAAGTAGCCACTAATCTGTTTTCCTGGCTTTCTATCTTCCCCAATACCTAATTGTCTTGTATTAAATTTTCTTAGAAGACTCTGGCCTGTTTGGCTCATTTGGCTCAGTGGTTAGAGTGTCAACCTGCATACTACAGGGTTGCAGGCTAGATTCCTTGTCAAGGGCACGTACCTGGGTTGCAGATTTGATTCCAGGGCCGTGCGGGAGGCAACCAATCGATGTGGACACATTCCCCCCACATTCCCCCCCCCACCCCCTTTCCACTCTATTTAAAAATCAATGGGAAAATATCTGTGGGTGAGGATTAACAACAACAAAAATAATTTGCTTAAAAGCATGCTCTTTTGTTTTCTGGGTTGACAGCTAGCTAATAGGATAAATCAGTATTTATGGAACTTAAGGAGACAGAAATGCTCCCTTTCTCCCCAACTCTAAGATCTCTCTTCAGAAAAAAAGAAAGATTTTAATGATCTTCTAAAACTAATCCTCCATGATAAGGTTGATGTTTGGTGAGGTACATTTTTTTTGTTGTTGTTAATCCTCACCAGAGGATATTTTCCCATTGATTTTTAGAGAGCATGGAAGGGAGGGAGGGAGGGACAGAGGGAAGGAGAGAGAAACATCAATGTGAGAAAGACACATTGATTGGTTGTCTCCCGCATGACCTCGGCCAGGGTCAGAGATTGAACCTGCAACCCAGGTATGTGCCCTTGGCTGGAATTGAACCCATGATCCTTTGGTCTAGGCCAACACTCTAACTGCTGAGCCAAACCTGCCAGGGCTGGTGAGGTACATTTTTAAGCAGGCTTGTGACTACCTATTCTATAAATGAACCAGGCATGCCCCAATTTGATGGTATACTATTGCTTATTCTCTACCTATGATTCTTTGGGTGAACTTGGCTGGGGGTTCTGGGGAATAATCTATATACTTATGTTATATTCTCTCCAAAAGGTGTGTGACATATATATGAATTATAACCTTCCATTAGTGGTGTTGTTTCCTCCTGGGATCTTCTATCTCTCACTCCTCAGTCTGGATTCCAGTATCCTGAATCAGCTCTGTTACATTATGCACAGGTACAAAGCCTTTTTTACCATTTTATGAATTAGTACATTATAATTTTATCTTCATTTTTCAACTGTACAATAAGTTATAATGTATAAATACACTACAGTACATTTATTGTATATAATACAATAAAATATTAAACACAATAAAAGTATTACCTATTTTCTGCCAGGGCCCATGAAACAAGAAACATGGCTTTCTTATTTTTTTTAATCCTCACCTGAGGACGTTTTTTTCCATTTTTTGTTCAGATAGAGTGGGAGGGAGAAAGGAAGAGAGAGAGAGAGAGAAGCATTGACGTGAAAGGGACACATCAAGTGGCCACCACCCGCATGACCAACCAGGGCCAGGGACAAACTGCAACTGAGGCACACACCCTTAGCGGGAACTGAACCCAGGTCTCTCTGGACCGCAGGCCGACGCTCTAACCACTGAGCCAAACCAGCCAGGGCGAAACATGGCTTTCTTTTGAGAATAACCTTCCAGTATGAGGCTATTTTAATTGTGTGTTTTTTTTAATTTTTGTTTTTTTTATTGATATATTAGAGAGACAGAGGAAGGGAGAGGGAGAGAGAGATGGAAACATTGATGAGAGAGAACATCGATTGGCTGCCTCCCGCATGTCCCCCACTGGGGATCGGGCCCACAACCTGGGCATGTGCCCTGACCGGGAATCAAACTGGTGACCTTTTAGTGTATGTGTTGACGCTCAACCACTGAGCCACACTGGCCGGGCTTAACTCTTTTGTTTTGTTTTTAATGTCACTGGTGGGGGGATATAGATTTTTTAAAATTATAATTACGGATCTTTTATACAATGGTGCTGCTGCACTCAGCATTGTTAATTCTCATTGCTGTGGTTTAAAGAAAATTAGTTATTTTCTGACAACTAGTTTAGGTCTACATAGCTTTTCTAGTGAAAAGAACATTTTCTGGGAGATTAGGGATCTGTTGCCAGTTATATGAAACTGTAAGTATTATTTCTGATCCCCTCTAATTCTTTCACTTATGGACTGAAATTACTCTTTTTAGTCCTTAAGTGTAGACTCTTTTAGCATAACTTGCAGGACTATGCCAAGGATAAAATGTTTAAAAATGAATTTGATAATAGTTCTCAGGCACGAAAAAAAAGATTACATTTTTAAATGTCCTCTTTATCCCTCTGTACCATTTTTCCACATTAATTAAATATATTTCTGTGTTAATAACTGACTACTTTTCAATATGTATTAATTTTTAATAGTGAAACGTTAAAAGCACACCTTTTTGTTTTTTTCTTTTTATTGAAATATAATATATATACAGTCAAAGTACATGTCTTAAATGTACTCAATATTTGAGCCTCTAATGATTTTTATTTCTTGAGGATAATGTACCACAAATGATTTAAAACTTTAAATACACAGCTGGACATTTGTGTATGTGCACATCTGTGTATTTAAAATGTACACTTTTGTTTATGTTTACATTTCAAAGGCATTTAATGTTATATTTCTTCTATTTGTTCACCCTTTTAGATACCGTAATAATTTGACAGCTGCAAAGAAAAATGAGTTGGTACTAAAGGTATGGCTGATAAACTTTTAAGTTGCCGCTGTTTAAAAGTTGAGTGGAGATATACAAGATCTGCTGGGAATGAGAAGGGAAGGGAGAATAGGTGATGATGACAATTTTTTTTTCTTTCCCAATAGACAAAATCAGAGTTTATATTCAGCAGCAAGACCTATCAAGAATATAATCACTATTTGACAGCCATGGTTGGCTGCCTGTGGACATCTAAACCCTTCCAGAAAGGATCGTATTTTGACCCTGAAGTCTTTAAAAAAATTGGAATAGCAAAGTATAAAACCAGTTTAAATTTAATCCATCACCCTGCTCTATTGAGTTATGCTGTTTCCTTTTTGCTTAAGGTAAGGATAGTTAAAAGACTTAGATTTTATACAGGAATACTTTGATAACAGAAATAGAAAATGCCATAAATTTAGTGTGTCTGAATTGCAAAACATGTTTAGTCATTCCTTTTTGAGTACCAGCTACATTTTGGGCATTGTGGTAAGCTTTGGGGGTTCAAAGTTAAGTCTCTATCCTCCAAGAGCTTGAACTTGTGGCACAGACAGACTTGTAAATATTACTATATTGCAGTGTGGCAAGTGAAAAAAGGTACAGTTGTGATAAAGATGAGGGAGTGATTATTAGTTCAGTTTTGCTTGGGTAGAGGTGGTGCCAAGTAAGAACAGGCTGCAGAGAAGTGGAAGCTCTCATAAAATCCTTCTAGACAAGATGGAAAATGTCAGCTAGATAATATAGAGTTGGCATCTTAGTCAAAGACTACTGATTCAATGGATTGGTGTCAATATGCAGGCAGGGTTGAGTGGGGCTCTGCTTAGGGCTTTATCATCTGTTGTCATTTTCAGTATTATCAGTGTGTGGGTGGCACTCTAACCACTGATCCACGCCGGCCAGGGCTTATAATTAAGAAATCACTGCCTAACCCAAGACCAGAAAGATTTATTTCTGTGTTTTGTGTAAGAATTTTATAGTTTTAGCTCTTAAGTTTAGGTTTTTCACTCATTTTACATTAATTTTTATATAGGATGTGATATAGGTATTCTTCATTTTTCTTTCATGTTGCTGTTTAGTTGTCCCAGCACTGTTTGTTGAAAAGGTTGTTCTTTTTCCATTAAAATGTCTTGGCACACTTGTCGAAAACCAATTGACCATAGGTATGTAGATTTATTTGAGACTTTCAATTCTTTTCCATTGATCTATGTATATTTTATGCCAGTACAACACTATCTTGATGAGTGTAGCTTTGTAATAAGCTTTGAAATTGGAAAGTGTGAGGCCTTCAACTTTGTTCTTTATCAAGATTGTTTTGGTTATTCTTGGTCCCTTGAGATTCCACATGAATTTCAGAATCAGCTTGTCAGAGTCTATAGAGAACCAGTTGGGATTCTGTTAGGTAATATCTTGAATCTGTAGATCAATGTATAGTATTACCATCTTAACAATGTTATATCTTCTAATCTGTGAACATAGATGTCTTTCCATGTATTTAGGTCTTCTTTGGTTTTCTTCAACAATGTTTTGTAGTTTTCAGTTTATGTTTTATGCTTCTTTTGTTGAATAAAATTATATTTTATCTTTTGATGTTATTGTAAATGGAATTGTTTTATTAATTTCATTTCAATTGTTTATTGCTGCTGTATAGAAATTCAATTGATTTGTGAATATTGATCTTATATCCTGAAACCTTGTTGATCTTGTTTATTAGTTTTTATAACTTTTCATTGGATTCCTAAGAGTTTCCTGAAAACAGATCATTTATTTCCTTCTTTCAAATATGGATGCTTTTTTTTTTTTTTTTTTTTGCCTAATTGCATTCCCTACAGCCTTAGGTACAAAGAATGTTGAAAAAAAGTGGCAAGAATGGTTTACTTTTTCTTGATCGTGAGGAAAACAATTCAGTTTTTCACCAGTATGATGTTAGGGATTTCCATGGATGCCCTTCATGAGGTTGAGTAACTTCCCTTCTATTTTTAGTTTGTTGAATGAAGTATTTTCTCTCTTACTCTTTGGAAAAGTTTGTGAAGGATTGGCATTAATTCTTTAAATGTTTAGTAGATTTTATCAGAAAAGCCTTCTGGTCATGGGCTTTTTTTAGTGGGTAGGTTCTATTACTATTCAACTGCTTTTCTTGTTAGAGGTCTATTTTACATATTCTATTTCTTCTTGAGTCACTCTCAACATTTAGTTGTTTTTCTAGAATTTGTTAATTTCATATAATTTGTTTGATTTATTGGTATACCTTACAATACTTATTTTCTGTGAAGTTGTTAGTGATGTTCCTCTTTATTTCTGATTTAAATAATTTGGATCTTCTCCCTTTTTTTGCTTATTTAAAGGTTTGTCAGTATTGTTGATATTTTCAAAGAATGAATTTTTTGGTTCTGTTGCTTTTTCTCTAATTAAAAATTTTTTTAATAAATACACATAAACATGAAATTTACCATCTTAACCATTTTTAAGTATATACAGTTCGGTGGCATTAAGTACATTAACAGTTGTACTACCATTACCACCTTCCATCCACAGAACTGTTTCATCTTATAAAAGTGAAACTGTAATTATTAAACGATAGCTCCCTAATCCTTCCCACAGCCCTTTGCAACAACCTTCATTCTACTTTCAGTCTTTATGAGTTTGACTACTCTAGGCACCCCACATAAGTGGACTCATACAGTATTTGTCCTTTTTTAAAATAGCTTACTTAAATTAGCATAATGTCTTCAAGGTTCAGCCATGTTGTAGCCTGTGTCAGAGTATCCTTTTTTAAGGATTATGTGCATATACCACATTTTGTTTCTGTTCATCCTTTGATGGACACTTGTGTTGCTTCCAACTTTTGGCTATTATAAATAGTGCTGCTGTGAACTTGGGTATAAAATTATCTGTTCAAGTTCTGGCTTTCAATTATTTTGGGCATATACACAGAAGTGGAATTGCTGGATTATATGGTAATTCTATATTTACTTTTTTGAGAAAATACCATACTGTTTTCCATAGGTGTTTCCCTACAGATTCTACATTTATACCTGCAGTGTACAAGGGTTCCAGTTGCTTCAGGTTCTCACCAGCACTTTTTTTTTTTTAACAATAGCCATCCTAATGGGTATGAGATGATATCTCATTGTGGTTTTCATTCTCATTTCCCTAAAGATCAGTGATATAGAGAATCTTTTCATGTGTTCATTTGCCATCTATATATCTTTGAAGAAATGTCTGAGTCCTTTGTCCATTTTAAAAATTGGTTATTTGGGTTTGTTGGTGTTTTTTGTGGTTGAGTTGTCGGAATTCCTTTCTTTTTCTAATATATGTTTATTGATTATTTTATAAAGAGAGGAAGGAAGGGAGAGAGAGATAGAAACATCAATGTGATAGAGAAACATCAATCGGCTGCCTCCTGCACATCCCCTACTAGGGATCGAGCCCACAACCCAGGCATGTGCCTTGACCAGGAATCGAACCAGGACTATTCAGTCCATGGGATGACACTCAATCCACTGAGCCACACCAGCTGGGCTAATTGTAGGCATTCTTAATATAAAAATTTTGGATATTAATCCCTTATCAGATACATGATTTACAAATATTTTCCCCCATTCCAGAAATTGCCTTTTCATTCTGTTGATTGGTTCCTTTGATACATAGAAGATTTAAGTTTGATGTAGTCCCATTGCCTATTTTAAGTCTTACATTGTCTTTAATCCATTTTGAGTTAATTTTTGTATATTTTGTGTAAAGTAAGGGTCCAACTTTATAGTTTTGCATGCGGATATCCAGTTTTCCCAGCACCATTTGTTGAAGGGACTATTCTTTCCCCATTGAGTGGTGTTGACACCTTTGTCAAAGATCATTTGACCATATACATGAGGGTTTATTTATGAGCTCCCCGTTATGTTACGCTGATCTATATGCTTGTCTTCATGCCAGTACCACACTATTTTAAATACTGTAACATTTTAGAAAGTTTTTAAATCAGGAATTGTGAGACTCGCTGTTTTTATATTCTTTATTTCATTCACTTTTGCTGTGATCTTTATTGTTTACTTCTTTCTTGCTTTGAATTTAGTTCATTCTCCTGCTTCTTGTCTCCTACGGCTGTGGATTAGACTATTGAACTGAGATCTTTCTTTATTTTTAATGTAGGCATTTACAGCCTTGACCTCTCAGCCACACTCACTAGGAAGGAACAGGTCATGGCTCACATACACCAAACACTTGCTATTCTTATGGAATTTTAGTAGATTTTCCTGAATAAATATTTTTATATTTGCTGTGTGCCCTTAGGACAATTTCCAGAGACTTTAAATGCTGGATTTAAAAAATAGTTTTTTCCAGCTTTGCCCATTTTGCTGGGAAGTGGGTCCACAGAATTTGTCATGATCTCATCCTAGAAGTGGAACTCCACATGGACACTTTTTATGATATAACAACTGCTCTCAGTTTCTTTAATATCCTTCTAGAAACATATTGTGTATTTCTGTGTAAATTATATTTTTCACCACTATACACTATACTTTTCTGCCTCATGATTTTTTTTACTTAATACCTTGGCTTTTGTTTCATATTTGTACATAAAGGGCTGCCTCATTCTTTTTGATGTCACTGTAGTATTTTATTGTATGGATCTAACATAAGTTAAGCATATAACTTATAAGTTGAGGGTTTAAGTTGTTTCTAGTCTTGTTATTAAACTATACTCTAATGAATATTCTTGAACTACATGCACCATTTTGAACATATGCAGGTATGTCTGTTGGATAAAATTGCTCCAAGTGGAATTGCTTTCTAAAGGGTATATCTTTTGCCCTGGCTAGTGTGGCTCAGTTGGTTGGAGAGTTGCCCCATATACCTAAAGGTTGTGGGTTTGATTCCCAGTCAGGACACATACCTAGGTTGCATGTTTCATCCTCGGTTAGGGCACGTACAGAAGGCAACCAGTAAATGTTCTCTCTCACATCAATGTTTCTCTCTCTCACTCTCCCTCTCTCTCACTCTCCCTCTTTTCTTCCCTTTCCCCCTCTCTAAAATCAATAAGCATATCATTGGGTGAGGATTTTTTAAAAAGATATATCTTTTTAATTTTATTAGGTATTGTCAAATTGCTTTCAGTAGAAGTTATACCAGTTTACATTACCACTAACAGTGGGTGGGTGTCAGTTTCTCTATACCCTGTCAACACAGTTGTATCTAATACTTCCTTGGAAAAATGTGTAATGAATCATAGATTAAGTAGAATTTATTTTTATAAGTCAATTATTTTTTTTCTTTTTAAGTGTGTGTGTCTTAGTTTTAAGACTCAGTCTCTAAAGTAGTAACTATTATCAGGTTGTCATAGGTTAGCAAAGTTGTTTTGGGTGATCGGGAATTGATATATTCTTTTAAATCAGAAAATTGTTTGTAAATATTTAAGAAAGGTTAGTTCTGGAAGGATAAATTCTAGTGGCACAGAGTACATTTAGCAGAAGGTAAAACTTCTATTTTTATAATTGATGATGTTTCTGTATGGTTCTGAAAACATTAGACTTTAATGCCAATCTTTTCTTTAAGATAGTGCGTTTTGAGCTCTGATTATCACTAACTAACAGCTCACTATCAAAGTATCTTACTTTTGAGGTGGCAAAAATAATCTCTGGTACCGTACGTGTTAGTATAATTTAATTCTGGCAGTTTTATTGAGTTATAAATTATTGAGTTATATAAATATTTCAAATTAGCCAGATTTTTAAGGATAATTCAGGAAATTTAATTTGACCAATCAGTTCTCAGTATCAAAAAGTGAAGCTCACTTCTTGAGTTGAAATATATTTTGAATATTTGTAGAGCCTACATTTCAGGAAATTCTGAACCTCTAGGTTTTCTTATCACAAATTACCTTTGAACTAATAGCTAGTTGTTTCTTTGTTTATTCATTCAACAAATATTTATTTAGTGTCCACTATGCTTGCACTAGGAATACAGTGGTTAAGAAGATAGATATTGTCTCTGCCCCAATGGAGTTTATATGCTAATGAGAACAAACAATAACCAAGTAATGAAATAAGTAGATATAAATATTTTAAATTTTGAGAAAGACTTTGAAGGACAAAAACAGGGTGGAGTGAGAGAGAGTGACTGCAGTGTTGTCAAGGATGGGTGTTCAAAAGGCCTTTTTGAGGAGGTGACATTTAACCTGAGATTTCTTCTAAAAGATGAGAATAAGTCAGCCTAGAAATAGCTGGAAGAAGAGCATTCCAGGCACTGAAACAGTAAAATGGATCAAGGGGTTCAAGAAAAAAAGGAAGGCTAGTTTGATTTAGAGCTTAAGGAACAACAAGAGAGAGAATGAAATGAAATAAGGTTGGAGAGACACAGGAGCCATCTGTCTTACAGGTCTGTTAGGAGTGCCATGGGAAACAGTTGAAAGATTTTAAAAACAGTTGTAGTGTGGTCTTAGTTGATATTTAATAGAGATCACTTTGGCTTTTTCACAGAGGATAGAGTTATGAAGGAGGCCTGAGTTATAGCGGAGGCACCAACTGGGAGGCTATTGGTGAAGTCTAGACAAGAGATACTAATAGTGATTTGTGGTGGTAATGGAGATGGAAAGAAGTGGGCTGATTTGAGATATGTTGCAGAGGTAGAACAGATAGTACTGGATGATAGCTTGTTTAGAAGTGGGAATGAGAAAAAGAAAAGGACTTTTGAGTTTTTTGAATTGACCATCTGTGTTGATGGTGGTTCTATTTGTTAATAAGAGGAATACTGATGAAAGAACAGGAGAGGTTATTTGGTCCGGGGGGTGGGGGGAAGTCAAGTTGAGAATCATATTCTGTTTTGACCTACTTAAGTGTGAGATGCCTGTCAGACATCCAAGAAGAAGTGTAAGTAGGCTGTTTGAAATAGGTGCTTGGCAGTCAGGATAGGAATTGGGAACTAGAGATGTAAATGAGGAATTCATCAACATGGACTGTATGTCATCAGTTCCAAGAACACAATTTTTTCATTTTTTAACCTCTCAAAGATCAGGGTGCTTCTTCTGATTGAAGATGTCAGCCAGGCAACATCATGAAATAGTTGTCATTTGCTGTTTTGGAGTGTGCACAGGCAGATTGCCAGAATCAAACCTTGCAGAATGGATGTCAGCAGCTTGAGGGGGAAATTAGAGACTATTGGAGCACTGTTTAAGTCTCAAAAACCAAATGGCTTGGAGGAAGAAGGGAGGGGAGCGGTGAAGCATGTTATGGACTTGAAACAGGAGCCAAAAGTAGGTTAGCTTTATGTAACTGGGCCTCTGCACCAGTAGCTTTTCGTTCTTTTAAGAAATGTTGCATCATCAGCACTCTGGCACAGAGGGTGCTATTGTGTAAACAAACTGAGATATCCACAACTCTTGCATATAAAATAATTCAGAAGTGTTGGACTCTGAATGTGAGGTTTTAGAAATATTTTCACCACTTTGTATATATTTATGATTTCATGTTTATAAAAATGATACATGATTAGGGGCGGGAACAGGAGGAGGAAGTCAGTGGGGGGAGGGACTTCTGTAATACTTTCAACAATAAAGATAAATTTTAAAAAATGATATATGATCAAAATCTGCCTATATCTAAAGCATCTAAAACAGATCTTCATTATAATCATTATGAAATTTTAAATTCTAAGTATTGAGAAAGCCTTGTGTTACATATATAGTTTAACAGGTAGTTTTTTTTGTTTTTTTTTTAGTAGTGTATAAAATATATTGTTTGTTAGAATTGATGACTTTTCAGTGAAAAACAGTAGGTGATAGTTAAGGCCAGGGAATAAATGGGATCACTTAGGTGTGAGTTTTCATAAAGAACAGTTTTATAGAATCTACTGTGTTCACAGACTATTTCACCACATTTCCTCCTTATCCTTTAATACTCAGTTTGGATATACTGTTCCTCAGGAAAGGCCTTCTCTCTGATATCGTCTATCTCCACCCCAGTGGCTGAACAGAGAATTTTTTTTAATGAGGTCATGGACTAGCAAAATGGTTCTCACTTTATCCACTGTGGTTTTATTTTCCTTTTGTTTGTGCTGTTAGGAGGAAATATGGATGGTTATAGTGGGTGTTCATTCAAAATGAATCTAAGAGTGGTGGTAGGAATAGAATGTAGTAAATGAATCAGTGAAGAGCCATCTTAATTTTCGGGTAATTTTTGCTAAGTATTTCCATCCCCATATAGTCACATTTCTTTATTTTGTTTTTGTTTCTTGTTTCTTAAAGGAATGCCCAGAAGAAAGGACAGTAAACATGAGCTCCATTCGGGTAAATAAATTTATTTTATCATATTCTGGGATTTCACACAGCTTCATTTCACCAAAAGAATTTATACCTTCACTTTTTCCCAAATCTTAAGTCTGCTGCCTCCACAGTCAAAGTGAATTGTTTACCTTCTGAATTCATTCCTATGACTTTTATGTGAATTTATTGACACTATACCCTCTATAGTCTTCTCTAAAAATATAACTACTTGTAATTTGACTCTTGCTATTGTGACCTTGTGTCTCATTTTAGAGTACAGTTACATATATTCAAAGTGTGATTATAATAAGGCTAATTTAACAAACCCAGACAGTTGTCTCATTATTATAGAAATTCTGCTGTGTACATATTTAATACAGTCAGTAATATAATAATGTCTACTCCTGTATTATCTGTTTTAGATGCCAAATTCCTAGAGGGTGGGAGTGATGACCCATTTTCATTTCACAGTTCTTACTCAGTTGGACAGCTACATTTTTTTGCCAGTATAATGAAAGGAACATTTAGCCCTTAAACTTTGGGTACTTTCTGGTTTGACTATTACTTAGTGACTAAGTTCCAGTTATGATCCTGTCTCCTCTGAGATAACTCTGTTATGTGTACCCAGAACATTGGGAACTTTTCCTAGACAAAGAAGAGAAGGTAGAGAATAAGCATATTAAATATTCAATAAATAATTTTTCCCTTTTTGTGCCTACAGGGAAAGAAATGGAACAAGTATATGGACTATTTATTTTCAGAGGGCTTACAAGGCCTGCAACTTTTCATACAAAGTAGTATTCATCATTCTTCTGTCCCCTGATCAGACAGCATAAACCCCATGATCAACATGAAATGAATGCTGACAGAAACAAACCAAAAATACTGGACTAAATTTCTTCATTGTTGCCAGCAAGGCCAAGTGGCTAACCTTGAGTTTCCATATACTTTTTACCAACAGACTGCCATCCTCAGGGAGTGCTTAGACTGGCCTTTGATCATGGCTCAGGAGAGCTTTGATGTGGCTAACTTTGTTTCTCAGAATCTAGATTCTTTAATACACTAGTGAAAATGATTTCATGATCAGACTCTGCCTTTCACCAAACTATATATGGAAAGATATATCCATTATGTGGTGGAATTTTTCACATTCTTGTGGAGTATAAGCTGCCTTGATGGAAGACAGCAGGAAATATACAGTGGGCAGTTAAGCCACAGACATAATTATGCAAAATACTCTGCTGCCTCTATGAAACCTCTATGGATACTGCCATTTTTCTGACTGAGCAACAGCACCAACACCAAGTTAATAAGCAGTTGGTTGATTCCTTCATCTTCACTGGTAGCAATTTAATAAGAGAAGGAAGGAGAGAGAATTATGAGATAATCAAGACATTCCTATTTATAACTGGTTTGATTTCATGAAACTGCTCTATTGTGTGTGTATATATGCATATAGCCCATTTTTAAGCATTTAGGCACTAATTGCAACTTTATTTTCAGGAATAATTTTGAAGCCTTTTAAAAATTTTATAATAGGTAGAATATCTTGCTGCAAAGTAACTATAAAAATTTGCTTCAGTGGTACTGAATAACTAACTCTCTTTTAATAAAATTCATATCATTTGAGAGAAATCAAACTGAATTTTTTATTTTAGGGCGCACATTTTTGTGTTTCTTTGTTTTCATTTAAAGCAAAACAAAACCTTAAACTATATTATTGGATAATGTTCAAAATAGAATCCCATTTATCAATCCATTTTTTTATTTAGTACGTTTATTGAGCTTACTAGGTACCAGGTATTCTGTGTGCTATACAGCTGTGACCAAGACACAGTATCGGCTTTTGTGGAATTTAGTATATCTCACTGGAGAAGACAGACAATAAAAATGTGAATAGCCCTGGCCGGTTTGGCTCAGCGGTTAGAGCGTTGGCCTGTGGTCCAGAGAGTCCCGGGTTCGGTTCCCGCTAAGGGCACGTACCTCGGTTGCAGTTTGTCCCCGGCCCTGGTTGGGGTCGTATGAGTGGCAACCAGTCAATGTGTCTCTCTCACATTGATGTTTCTCTCTCTCTTCCTCTCTCTCTCCCTCCCGATGTCCTCAGGTGAGGATAAAAAAAAGTAAATAAATATGTAAAATCAGGAGCTGTAAAGAAAAGGCAACGCCCTGGCTGGTTTGGCTCAGCAATTGGAGCTTCGGCCTGCGGACCAGAGTCCTGGGTTTCGTTCCCGTTCTGGGCACGTACAAAAAAAGAAAGAGAGAGAGAGAGAGAGAGAGAGAGAAAGAAGGCAAGGAATAGAGAGAATGTTGAGAAGGTTGTTATTTTAGATAAGGTGGTTAGAGAGGATGTGACATGCAGAGGACCTAATGAGATAAGGGTATGAGCCATGTGAATATTTGGAGAAAGAGCATTCTGGGCAGAGGTAAAGGCAAGTGAAAAGGCTTTTAAAAAGATGCTTACAGTAGCCCTGGCCAGTTTTGCTCAGCGGTTGGAGCGTTGGCCTGTGGACCAGAGAGTCCCAGGTTTGGTTCCCACTAGGGGCATGTACCAAAAAAAAAAAAAAAAATGCTTATAGTAAATGTTCATAGAATGTGGAAATGCTCATAATGTAATGTTTTAATAGTGACTTTTTAATGTAAGCATTAAAAGAAAAACTGGAAGGAAAAATAACAAAATGTTACCGCCAGTTATTTCCCAGTGTTCTACAATGAGTATATACCACTTTTTAAATAAGAAACACAATGAACACTATTTTTAAAGAAAGGCTTAAAAATATTAACTTAACTTGGCCTGTTTAAAGAAGAGCAGAGAGGCAAGGAAGATTAAAACATAGTGATTAAGGGAGAAGAATGAAATGAGAAAAGTCCAGAGAGTAGTTCATGAAGGTCCTTACAGCCCAGAATGGATATGTAATGGGAAGCCATTAGAAGGATTGAGAGCAGAGGGATGATATAATTTGATTTACCTATATGGAACTGCAGTGTGAAGGTTAGACTGAAGAAGATATAGGGTGAAAACAGAGAGACCAGTTAGGTTATTAAAGTGTTCCAGGCAAGAGTCTTAAATTAGTGTTGTTGATATGGAGGAGATCATTAGATATTGGATTCAGGCTCTACTTTAAAGGTGGAGAAGATAGGATCTGCTGATAACGTGAGCATAAGAAGAGGGAAAGAGATGAGTAAAGGATGACACTTGGGTTTTTGGCTGCACAACCAGGTGAATTCTGGAGTGCAGAGAGGATGCATATTAGAGGAGGAACTGATGTGGAGGAGTGTGGAATCGGGAGTTCTACTGTGGCCATGTCAGGTTGCAGATGCTGAGTAGTCAGTTGAATATCCAAGTCTAGATTTCAAGGTGCAAGTTGGGACTGGCAAGATTAATTTGGGAGTTATTAGTGAATAGCCACAACATTGGATGAGATCATTTAGTACAGTTGGGAAAGAAAAGGTGGCAGGTCTGGGCTTTGGGGTGTGCCAACATTAAAAAGCTGAGAAGGAGAGGAACTGGCAAAAGACTGAGAAGGACCCTACAGTGAGCCAGAAGGAAAGTCAGGGACTGGTGTGCTGGAAGCCAAATGAAGAAAATGTTTCAAAGTAGTATTTTAATGGTGTGTAATGTTGCTGTTTGTTTTTTAAATCATTTTAATTTTTAAATTACAGTTGACATACAATATTATATTAGTTTCAGGTGTATACCCCAGTGATTAGACATAAAACTTATTAAGTGACCATCCCAAAAAATCTCGTATCTGACACCATACATAGTTATTAGAATATTATTGACTGTAATCCCTATGCTGTACTTCACACCCTCATGACTACACTATAACTACAAATTTGTACTTTTAAATCACTTCACCTTTTTCACCCATCCCCCCAAGTCCCCTCCCATCCTGCTACAGTCAAAATGTTCTCTGTATCTATGAGTCTGTTTCTGTTCTGCTTGTGTGTTTATTTTTATTTTTAGATTCAATTATTGATAGATGCGTATTTATTGCCATTTTATTGTTCATATTTTTTTATCTTTTTATCTTTTTTTTCTTCTTAAAGAAGACTTTTTAACATTTCATGTAATACTGGTTTGGTGGTGATGAACTCCTTTAGCTTTTTCTTGTCTGGGAAGCTCTTTATCTGACCTTCGATTCTAAATGATAGCTTTGCTGGGTAGAGTAATCTTGGTTGTACGTCTTTGTTTTCATTACTTTTAATATTTCTTGCCACTCCCTTCTGCCTGCAAAGTTTCTGTTTGGAAATCAGCTGACAGTCTTATGGGAGCGTCCTTGTAACTAACTGCTTTTCTCTTGCCGCTTTTAAGATTCTCTTTGTGTTTCATCTTTTGTGTTTTAATTATGATGTGTCTTGTTGTGGGCCTCTTTGGATTCATCTTGTTTGGGACTTTCTGTACTTCCTAGACTTGTAAGTCTATTTCTCTCACCAGGTAAGGGAAGTTTTCTGTCATTATGTTTTCAAATAGGTTTTCAGTTTCTTGCTCTCTCTTTCCTTCTGGCACCTTCATGATGTGAATGTTGGTACACTTGAAATTGTCCCAGAGTTTCCTTGCACTGTCTTCATATATTTGGGTTCTTTTTTCTTTTTGCTGTTCTGATTGGGTGTTTTTTGTTTCCTCATATTCCAAGTCTTTGATTTAGTTCTTGGTGTCCTCTACTCTACTGTTGATTCCCTGTGAATTATTCTTTATTTCAGTTAGTGTATCCTTTATTTCTGGCTGGTCCTTTTTTATGCTGTTGATTTCTCACTAAGTTCCTTGAAGTTTTCAGTAAATTCCTTGAGCATCCTTATAACTGTTGTTTTGAACTCTGTATCTGATAGTTTGCTTGCTTCCATTTTATTTAGTTCTTTTCCTGGATATTTCTCCTGTTCTTTCATGTGCAACATGTTTCTTTGTGTTTGCATTTTGGCTGCTTCCCTATGTTTGTTTCTGTGTATTAGGAAGAGCTGCTATGTCTCCCAGACTTGGTAGAGTGGCATTGTATAGTAGGTTTCCTCTAGGGCCCAGTGGTTCAGCCTCCCCAGTCACCTGAGCTGAGCACATCAGGTGGACCCCTGTGTGGACTGTGTACATAGTCCTGTTGTAGTCGAGCCTTGATTGTTGGCATCACTGTGACAGATTGACCTCCAGGCCAGTCATCTGTGAGGACCACCTGTGACTATAGCCAGAGAGCAGCTGTGTAGGAGCTGACCCTATGGAGCAGGACTTGCTTCAGTGGGGCTTTGGTGCTCATCAAGTCTGCCCCTTGAGTGTGTTGCTCATGAAGGTGGTAGGGTTGTAATCAGGTGTGGTCTGAAGCTGATCACCGGGTGAACTGGTTCTGAGGCCTCCAGGGAGGTGCAAAGTCAGCCACTGCCTGTGCCCTGCCTGGGGCTACCAGCACAAGCTACAGAGTGATCTGCAGATGGCTGCTACTTGTGCTTGGAGGTGCCTGGGGAGGCCAAGCTGTGAACCAAGGCAGGCTGCCACTAATGCCTGGCCTGGAACTGCTTAGTAACGGGTACAGGGTACACTGAGGCCAGTTGCTGCTTGTTAGAGGGATTTTAGGAAAATCTGAAGCATGACCCAAGACAGGTCATTCCTATGGAAAAGCCACTGGAAACAGTTTGAGTGGACCTGCATGTTGGGTGGGGCAGGATCTGGGAATCACCAGGGCTGGGTGAAGACTGAGCCAAGTTGATGGAGACAGATATGGTGCCTGCCTGTCTGCCGCTCTCTGTTGGGGAGGGCTCAGCAAAGGAACAATGGCCTCTGCCAGCACTGTTTTCTGGGAGAAATCTGTCCCCCTAGCTTTTTCCCTAATGCCAGAGAAGTTAGTTCCTCCTCGTATATCCCTAGTTCCAGTCAAGCTGCTGCCCCAACTCTGGAGCTCAGAGTGAGTGAGTCTGAGTAAATATGTGTGCAAGCCCTTTAAAAGGAATTACCTGGGACTCCAGCAGCTTCTGTGCCACTCATCCACAATCTCCAGATACGTGGACTCCTCTTCCTGGCACTGGAACCCTTGGCTGAAGGGTCTGGTTTGGGACTGGGACTCCTTGCTCCTCAGGGGGGACCCACACAGCCAAGATATCCCTCCCAGTTTAAAACCGCCACACATGGGTGTGAGACCAGCTTGTTTTGCACCTCCACCTCTCCTACAAGTCTCGATGTGGCTTCTTTAATTCCTTAGTTGTAGAACTTTCATTCAGCCAGATTTCAGGCGGTTCTGAATGATGGTTGTTCTGTAGTTTAGTTGTAATTTTGATGTGGTTGTGGGAGGAGGCGAGTACCGTTTTAACATACACCGCTATCTTCTTGTTTCTAAATTTGTACTTCAAATACCTTTCCATATTGTTTTTCAGAAAATTATATTTCTGTCTTTAAGATCATATAGAACTTGCAATTATGTGAAGGGATGTGATTATGTAACTCCTAACAAAATTCAGATTATCAAAGAAGTTTTTCTAAACTTAAGTTTACATTCTAGAAGAAAAAAATGTTTCCCTTAGGTTTGTCATTTATTCAGTAATTATTCCCTG